ACTCTGACAGGTGGGCCGATAAGACCTGGGAAATGATGAAAGTAACACTAACATGTGGTTAAAGGAACCATTCGGTGACACAGTACTTTTTGCATTGTTTCTTTACAAGATATTAGCATAAACACTCCTACTTCAATGAGCAGAAATGCAAGATATTGAGGGGTATAGCCTTTAAGTTTTGATTCAAATGAGCATGGGATTAACTAAAGTGCTACATGCTTACAAAACAAGCAAGTCTGCTGTAGTTTGGATGTTGTTTTGGATCCTTTTCAGATCTCCCCGATTATAAATGATGGAAACTTTGATTAATTGTTGTACACACCACCTTTTTGGAAGGTTAGCCAATGTCTCATGTTTATCTATAGATAGTGGCTCACACTTTGGTTTGATGCAACCTTAAAGCTTAAGAGATTGCTTTTTAGTGTTTTCTGAATTGATAGATGTCAATTAATGTTCTTGAGTTTTATAATAATGTGTTGCTTCTTTGGATCGTTGGCTTACTTCATGTTGTCACACTGGTTTGATTTAAAATTTCTTTGATTCTACATTTCGATTCTTGATGTGGATTGGGAAGTTCAACCCATATCTTGATACAAAACAAATTGTTGATCTGAATGGGTGAACGTGACATTAAAGCAAGAACGGAAGAAAACACACTCCTCAGTGGGTTAAACTGGTTCGCATCAGGCAGAGTCTGCAACTGATGTAACTAATGGGAGAGACACACAGACCAGCAAGCATCACCTTCACACTTCACAGGCCTTGCATGAGATTTTGATTGAGATAATCTGAAGATAGCACACACGTCCCTTGTGGTTTTGTGCAAAAGAAAAATACCTGTAGCTTCAAGATGCCTCATCTGATAAGAGCATGCAGAAAAGGGTACAGTAAGATCACAGGTTTCCTCAGGGGAACAGAATGCGTATCGGTAGAAAAAAAAGCAAAGGTTTCAGCTGTATGAAATAAAAAATTTGAAGGACGGAGAATTCTTATTTGCTTGATTACACAAGGACCGTTCTCACATGTAACTCATGAAAGCATAAAAAAATGCATTTGGTTTTTGGCAGACTGTATGACAAACACCATAAAAAGATCAAGGTGGAGAAACTGTATGTTCCTCGTAATACCAATATTTACTGTGTGCACTGACTGGTGCACCAGAACTGCAGGAAAACGATAAGATCTTGACGCCCTCTTTCCACTTTGTAGGTCATCAGATATGAAGCTCTTCATCAAAACAAAATCTACTCATCATCTATAACAAAACCATAGAGTTTTACTTTAATTCTAATCTTTATTTGTATCTGCTTTAAAGCTTTTTTTCCTTTCTGAAGAGAAAGCAGTATTCAGGTTTTTGTCATATACAGGTGCTGGTCATAAAATTAGAATATCATGAAAAAGTAGATTGATTTCAGTAATTCCATTTAAAAAGTGAAACTTGTATATTATATTCATACATTACATACAAACTCATATATTTCAGATGTTTATTTTGTTTAATTTTGATGATTACAAATGACAACAAATGAAAATCTCAAATTCATCATATCAGAAAATTAGAATATTACTGAAGACCAATAAAAACAAAGGATTTATAGAAATGTTGGCCAACTGAAAAGTATGAACATGAAAAGTATGAGCATGTACAGCACTCAGTATTTAGTTGGGCCTCCTTTGGCCTGTATTACTGCAGCAATGCGGCGTGGCATGGAGTCGATCAGTCTGTGGCACTGCTCAGGTGTTATGATAGCCCAGGTTGCTCTAATAGTGGCTTTTAGCTCTTCTGAATTGTTGGGTCTGGTGTATTGCATCTTCTTCTTCACAATACCCCATAGATTTTCTATGGGGTTAAGGTCAGGAGAGTTTGCTGGCCAATTAAGAACAGGGATACCATGGTCCTTCAACCAGGTACTGGTAGCTTTGGCACTGTGTGCAGGTGCCAAGTCCTGTTGGAAAATGAAATCTGCATCTCCAAAAAGTTGGTCAGCTGCAGGAAGCATGAAGTGCTCTAAAACTTCCTGGTATGTGGCTGCGTTGACCCTGGACCTCAGAAAACACAATGGACCAACACCAGCAGATGACATGGCACCCCAAACCATCACTGACTGTGGAAACTTTACACTGGACTTCAAGCAACGTGGATGAAGTGCCTCTCTTCTTTCCCTCCAGACTCTGGGACCTTGATTTCCAAAGGAAATGCAAAATTTACTTTCATCAGAGAACATGACTTTGGACCACTCACCAGCAGTCCAGTCCTGTTTCTCTTTAGCCCAGGCAAGACGCTTCTGACGCTGTCTGTGGTTCAAGAGTGGCTTGACACAAGGAATGCGACAGCAGAAACCCATGTCTTTCATACGTCTGTGTGTGGTGGTTCTTGAAGCACTCACTCCAGCTGCAGTCCACTCTTTGTGAATCTCCCCCACATTTTTGAATGGGTTTTGTTTCACAATCCTCTCCAGGGTGCGGTTATCTCTCTTGCTTGTACACTTTTTTCGACCACATCTTTTCCTTCCCTTTGCCTCTCTATTAATGTGCTTGGACACTGAGCTCTGTGAACAGCCAGCCTCTTTAGCGATGACCTTTTGTGTCTTGCCCTCCTTGTGCAAGGTGTCGATGGTCGTCTTTTGGACAACTGTCAAGTCAGCAGTCTTCCCCATGATTGTGTAGCCTATAGAACTAGACTGAAAGACCATTTAAAGGCTTTTGCAGGTGGTTTGAGTTAATTAGCTGATTAGAGTGTGGCACCAGGGGCCATCAATTTTGAACCTTTTCACAATATTCTAATTTTCTGATATGATGAATTTGAGATTTTCATTTGTTGTCATTTGTAATCATCAAAATTAAACAAAATAAACATCTGAAATATATGAGTTTGTATGTAATGTATGAATATAATATACAAGTTTCACTTTTTAAATGGAATTACTGAAATCAATCTACTTTTTCATGATATTCTAATTTTATGACCAGCACCTGTATTGTCATTTTATGAGAAAGACCAACTGAAACAATTAAATAAATTGTAAATTGTAATCCAAACGTTAGATGAATGTATTGTATGTGAAATTTGCTCTCACACCACAAGCATAGCAACGATGAGGGTTTTCATTTGGAAAACTATAATATGGTTCTTCTTGTACCGTCAGATAAAAAATGAAAAAACTCAAAAGTCTGCTTTCTCTTGAATCTGTTGAAGAAAATGTAGAATTAAATCTGAAGTATCCCCATATTGGAGATTTTTGTATGTGATCTTTCACTGGGGCCTTACAAAAAGACAAAGTGGTGGTAACAAAATAAGTAAATTGGCTGGAGGAAACAAGACCAACTATTACAGATTGGATAGTATTTGTATGGTAAATTTATTTAAACTCATGAATATTCTCTACTTGCTTTCAGCGAGCAAATCAGGACACAAGTACAAAAGATATTGATAGGTCAAATAAGACAGAAATATAACATTTCTTCCTGCAAATAGATTAGAAGAATCATTTCCCTGCACGGTGACCTAAAACAACACTGGAAGTGGTATTTTAATCAAACATAAGAGCACACAGGCTTTTTTTGTTAAAAAGATATGAAGATAAAGTGCATTTTTTCGATGTGATATTAAATTAAAGTAGTTATAAAGATAAGCTTTAAAATATGGCTATTATAAGCTCTGTTTATTTTGACACCCTGTCTCTTTACGGTTTTCCCTCGCTTTCTAGTTATTCCAGTAATAACTAACCACATCGCCTCACCAAACCCCCACCCCACTAAAACCACCAACCCAACCAAAGGTCGTGAGAACGTATTAAAGACCGGCTTTAGTTTCAAAAGCTGATAGATGTATTCTAAAGTGGGTGTAAAAGGGAGGCTACAGCAACATCTTTCCAATTGCTTGTACATTTAATGGCAAAATAACAAGAGGACAAAATTAAATTATTTACAACACAAACTGTAGTTACATGTAAACACAATCTTCTGTACAAAGAAATATACATGCAAAAGTAAAAATGAGTCATAGTGAGACATTCAAGATGACTTTGCTGCAGTCTTGTTTGTAGGTGTATTCAAAATATGACAGGTTTACATCCTGGGCACTGGGCAAACCGCCCAACTCCTCTCTATACAACTTTACATGACGAGTTGACTTTGCTTCCCAAAGGCTGTTCAGTACATCAGTCAGATCCTCCAGTGAGAAATGTTTAGAGAATCTGATTAAAGTGAATGGCCACACACATTTGAGAAACCAAGACCCACAGATATAAATAAAAAAACCACATAGAATGAGAGACTGTACAGACCGACAAATGTCAACTTATTTTACAATAAAGCAAATTCTCTGACAGCAACGATTAAAACCTTCATATATAACAAGAGACGAAGCACATTTTAGTCCCTCACTCACCTGGCACTTTGAAAAAGATTTCCAGAACCTCCAAATCAAGAAATGTGAACCTATCGGAATAAATAAAAAAGAAAAATCCAACTGGCAACAGGGAATATTCTAAAGAAAGATGGAAAAAGATTTAAGAGGTTGTTTTTTTTTCCTAAAAAGTATAATGCAGTCCCACAATGACCAGTTTTTTTGTTTGTTTGTTTTTTTTTTTTGCCTAACCTATTGCATGGTGGTGATGTAAAGACTATTAAATGTAATAAAAAAGAAAGAGATGAAAAAAAAAAAAAAAAAGCTAACCAGGGGAGAACAAACTCACACAGCAAATTAGCTTGAAAATAGATAAGTGGAATCTGTTTTCAGCAATAAAATCACCAAACAATACCTCTTTACATTAAGAATAAATAAATCCACACGCAACTTTTGTAAACACATTTCACTGCGGGCTGATATAACTTAACAAAAAAATTATTTAAAAAAATCCTAAAATAAAAGGACATAAATTCCAGGGGAAGAAAGCATAACCAACTTTGGTATAGTTACAGAAAATCAAAAACATGAAACAAATGAAAGCATAAATGTCTGTATTTTATAGATACACATCTCTATACATTATTTCTGAGCGCCCCCCCCTTATTTGTGTAAGAGGTGTTTATTAATACTGAACTTAATACATAAGAGTTAACACAATACAGACATCTATTGCAGTACCAGGTACACACATGCCTTTTTTGAAGAATACAGCTACAACACAAGTCTTCATAAATAGTTGCATACATGGTAAAGCTGCAACATTGCACATGAGAACTGCCGCAGAACAATGAGTGCATTTCTAGTAGCCGCCCCTGTTTAAACCGAGGATCTGGCCACCATTTTTAGAGTCCTGCATGGACTCACTACAGTTCTGCTCACAAAATAGCTTTTTTTTGTAAATTAATTTGAGAAAAACTCTTCAGGGGGGGTTGGGGACAAATCTGTAAAGCAAGGAAACATTATTTACAACTAGGGCGGACGCAGAAGGAGATCCACGACAGTTTAGCTGAATATGCTCTTTATTTTACACATGTTCACGTTGTTTTGTTGTATTAGTCACAATCTGAAGTTAGTTAAATGAATAAAGGTAAGCAAACTATTGCACAAATGATAGCTTTGATGCGTCTCTGGAAAACAGGATTTTGTAAGTTAGCTCTTCTCAGCGCAGGTAGACCCTGCTGATAAGACCTCTACATCTTATTTCAATTCTAGCCTTTGTTTTCCAAAAAAAAAAAAAAAAAAGGTTGAATAAAGACAGTTCTCCATTTTTCCCCAACTGTACATGGTTTCATTTACAAAAAGTAATTTCTCGTTACAAAATGTCTTCTTTTGTTCAACCAAAAGCAGCCTGAATTCATATACAGTACTCTGTTTTCTTTAACACTATGTGGATGCGAGATATAATCACCTCAGCTTGTTCAAAAAGCTGGTTTCTTTTTTTTCTCCCTCCTGAGTCAAAGTAAAAAATCTCAAATCGATTCCATCAGACTCATTTGTTGTGCTGGCATATCAAAATATACCAAGGTCAGCATAAGAGCTGGGGGGTTTATCAGTAAGGCAGTCAGCAGCAGCAGGACTTCTGTGGCTTAGTGAAGGAGAGGGGGATCATCATGGACTTGTCCCTGGTGGTCTTCAAAGAGAATGTCAGGTGTGGTTGTAAAGACGGCTTTGCAGGAAGGCCTTAATAGTGCCAACGGGTCGGACGTCATTCTGGTGCTTCCGCCGCTCGATGAAGGAGATGAGCCTAGAGGTGTCTAAATGTGTGCTGTAATGAATTGGTGACGGGGGCTGCGTGTGATTGACGTGCCCGTACCCGCCACATGCCACGCTTTGAGGCTGGAGCCACGGGTACTGCAGGCAGAATCCTGCAGAGGGCCGTCGCTCTGGCTCGCCCTGGAGCAGCAGGCAGACAAAGTCCTTGGCTTCTGTGCTCACGCTCTGGAAGTAATCCTCAGGAAAACTGAAGTCCAGGCGGCAGATGTTTAAACACGTCTCCTCAAGGCTTTCATCCAGGAAGGGGGAGGCACCGCTTAGGAGAACGTAAGTCACAACACCTGCAAAACATTTGGTTCATAAGCATATGTTTATGTAGTGGTAACAACAAAAGGTGCCATATTAATCATCATTTTAATCCAGTTAATGTACTTATAATGCATTTAAATGCCATTTAGATAAATATTAGCTTAAGTGGTAAAGATGTTAAAGAGGTTTAAAAAATAGGAATCCAATTCCTCTTAATTCGATGTAATCTAATGACTTTTTTACCTATCAAATAAAGTATATATAAATAGACCGATCAACACATTTTGACACATAGCGTGTTTTCAAAGCCACTTTTTAAAATGTAAAAGAGGATCTACAGTACCATTTAAATAAGTCAGGCTGCAAGAAAAAAGCTTCTTATTTAAACTCATCCATATCGGCCATTTCTAAAAAAAAAACATAAAATGTGAGGGAAGTCAGGGCAAAGAGCTAAGCTTAGTTTGAGTTAAAATATCTTTACCAGAGGTGTCCAGAATGTATCAAGAGCAGTACTTATTATTTTGGCTAATTTTCATCCAGTCTTAGTATTAGAATAACCGTTTTATTTCCAGCATTAAATCAGAAGAATAATTTCCTGCTTTAGAAAAGTGAGAATAACCCAGAACACTTCTTTTCCCTGATTTCCAGTCGAACAAGAGATTTCTTTTGTTTGATTACTTCCTTCTCAGCCAAATAAAGTGACTTTAAATGCAGTCAAAGTGCCTTTAAGCCTTGTGAGTGGAGTCATATCTTATTATACGATTCCGGCAATCATATAATATCAATGACCTCCTATAATGATTTCAAATCCATACCTAAGCTCCAGAGGTCAGATGTCAGTGAGGCAGGCTGACCCAGGACCAGCTCAGGTGCAGAGAACTCAGGGCTCCCCAGTAGAGGATGGATGTGAGAGGAATGAAGGTCAAGTTGAACAGCGTCACCAAAATCCGTCAGCTTGATCACGGGCTGGGAGCATACTTGTTCCACCACGATGTTCTCAGGCTGCAAGATGAGGAACACAAAGTCTTTCACATGAGAATAAATTTATTTATTTATGACTTTATTGCTGGTTTACAGGTATAAAACATATGTAAAGAAATATGACTATTTGGCAGGTCAACAACAACACTAAATCTAAAGTCTGTCTTTAAGCTTTTTTGGATACTCTAACATTCTAATTTACAGAACTTAGTTTATTAAAGATATAATTTTTCTCACTCTACAAGTCAAGAATGTCTGATTACTTTGAGATCAAGATGTGCTATTTTCCAGCCGTGCAAGTACTGGAGAGCTTCGAGGATATCTCGGAGGTACAAAGCCACCTTCTCTTCCGTCAGGTTTCCCCAGCTCACGATGTAATCCAGAAAGCGTCCCTGGTCGGCCCTGATGGTGAAACAAAGCACAGGATATGCGTGTGATGATGGCGAGTTCAAAATCAGTGCATATATTAAACGTTGGTGAATCCACCATACTCACATCTCCAGTACAAGGACGTAGCTGTGGGATGTCTCGTAGGTGTCTAGCAGTCTGACCAGGTTGGGATGGTCCAGAGTCTGCAGGAGTCGGATCTCCTGCAGCACCTGCTCTCGACGCAGCATCTTCTTGTTGACCTGTTTTGCTGCGATAGTGCGTTTACTTCCTCTCTGGTCACACCGCTTAGTCACAGAGAATCGTCCCCTGGAAAAGAGATGATGTTACAGTTAATGTACTTATTTTTTCTTAACTAGAAGTAGGATCAAAGCATAAATGTTCACATCATACAGAAAACATGTACATGCACAAACTCTAATGTGGTCAAGTAAGCCACATCACAGTCTTACCTTCCAAGTTCAGTGATCTCTGTGTAGTAAGACTCAAAATTACTTTTCCAGATATCTTCACTGCCATCATTAGGAGCTGCAGAGGATTATTTATTATAGGTATATTTGTACATATAGATTCATTTCTCAACTATAAACCAAAGCAAAAAGTAAAACGTTAAACCACAATGAGAGTATCACCTGACACCATAAGGCTAGCAGAGGATGTAACTGTGCCTGTGACACTGGTGGCAACGCATGTGTAGACACCGCTGTCCTCAAGAGACACACCCAGTACACGCAAGGAGGCCTCTCCTGTCTCACTGCAATAATGCAGAGGGAAAGGGCAGCAAAGCATGAGGCACGATAAAGACATGAGGCCGTACTGGTTGGAGACCAGCTTTTACCTGTATGCGATGCTGTAGTGTCCGTTGTTACTTAGAATGCTATTGTCAGGTCCACGCCATGAAACAGTGGCGCGAGGACGACCACACACCTTGCACCTCAAGGTGACATCGTCGCCACTCTCACATGACGCGTCGCCAAGAGGGATGAGGAACTCTGGGGGAGCTAGACAAAAACAAAGGAAACTTTCTGATTTCCACTTTTCTTTGACTTTTTCATAAGTTCATTCACTGCTTGAATGAAATCAGCTTACCATCATAAATGAAGTTGGGATTCAAAAGCTGAAGTAAAAGGAGACAGATCAGGTTTGGATTAAAATAATATGGCAGTTGACCAATTGATTTGAGCACAATAAAACTTCCACTTCCTACCTTGACAGAGACCTTGTTTGCCAGACTATCCTGAGACTTTCGATAGCCGTTCTCCAGTTTTCTGCCCTCCTTATCCCTTTTTTCAGACTTTCGACGGATACGTAGTGCTGTGTGCCATGAAAGGGATTTTCTGCAGCAAAGAGGAAAAAAGCAGGTGAAATGACTGTGAAAGAAAGAAATGTCTATTTTTCCGCTTCATAAGGTCACAACCTTAAAAATGTAATTTATTTCCGTGAATGCACCAGTCACAGAAGTACTGCCATCTCATTATGACAATAGAATTACGGCAACTGAAACTGTAACTTAGAGAAAGAAGACTCAAAACTAGCTGCTTTCAATTTCAGTAATTTATTTTAAAAGAATCGTTGCTCCCAACAACTCTTATGAAAGTAGTTGTTGAATGTCCTAGAAGTAGCCAGAAGATGATTTTGCATATTCATTTTATTCCACTTATCATCTTCCCTTATTTTATTTTATATTGTAGTCATTTAGTCTGTTTTGGTTTTCATTTTATGCCCCATTTAAAAGCCTTTAATCAAAAACCCACAGTAAATCAGGTTTTACTACACTGCTCAAAAACCATAAAGGGAACACTCACATAACACATCCTGGATATGAATGAATTAAATATTCTCATTGAATACTTTGTTCAGCACAAAGCTGAATGTGTTGACAACAAAATCTGGATTTGGAGTCAGATACACAAAATTAAAGCGGAAAAACACACTGAAGGTTGACCCAACTTTGATGTAATGTCCTTAAATCAGGTCAAAATGAGACTCAGTATTGTCTGTGGCATCCACCTCCCTGTATGACCTCCCTACAATGCCTGGGCATGCTCCTGATGATCCCAGACCTGTCTCGTAGACCTGAACTAAAGCATCTACCAACTCCTGGACAGTCTGTGTTGAAATGTCACATTGATGAATGGATTGAGACATGATGAACTGGATTCAGGTCTGGGGAACAGGCGGGCCATTCCATTGCTTCAAGGCATTCATCTTGCAGGAACTGTTAAGTATGGTCTTACAAGGGGTCTTTGGACTTCTTCTACCTTACCCAATAGCAGTCATGCTACCTCTGGTGACCACCTGAAGGGCTGTGCGGCTCTCCAAAGAAACGTCAAGTGACACCGTTACTGTCTCACTGCCAAACTGGTCATGTTGAAGGATGTTGCAGATAGCAGATCACTCTCCACTGTGTCTCCAGACTGTCGGGTCTGTCAGTTGTGCTCAGCGTGAACATGCTTTCATCTGTGAAGAGCACGGGACACCAGTGGCGAATTTGCCACTCCTGGCTAACCGTGCAGACAAATGCACATTTGTGACCTGCTGGAGGTCTCTGGCACTGCTCCTCCTGTTCCTCTGTGTAAAAAGGTGGCAGTAGTAGTCCTGTTGATGGGTTGTTGCCCTCCTACTGTCATGAAGCGATGGTTTTACTAGACCACATGCAGACTCACAGACACAGAGGGAGGATTAAAAGTCCAATATTTATTGGAGCTCAGAAGAAGCTGCAGGTTCAAGGCTCAGACAGGCATGGTGGCACAGGTAAGACAACGATCCAGCTCAGAGGGAAGGTCACACTCGGCTTATATAGGAAAGGCTTCCTTAATCAGCAAATAGAAAACAGCTGTCCATGCTGAGCCCAAGCTCCCCAGGCTTGGATCCACGGCGTCCTCTGGTGGGCAAAGCCCCGGATCCTGACAGTACCCCCCCCTCAAGGGCGGATTCCAGACGCCCCAAAGGAAAAAAAAAAACAACTCGCCCATGAAGGGCGAACCAGGGATGCCAGGAAGAGTCTCAGGTGGCCGGTCATGAAACCGGCAGCAAAGCAGAGTCTCAGAAGCTGCAGGGGCCTTGGAGGAGGGCGGCACCTCCGCTTCAGCAGGAAGCACCGGGAGAAACACTGTCTCCGCTTCAGCAAGAAGCCCCGAGAAGGACGCCGTCTCCGCTCCCGCTGCTCTGCAACAGGTCCGCCCACTACGGCTCCACATCCAGAGCAGAGGAAGCCGCCGACTGCGGCTCTGCATCCGGAACAGAGGAAGCCACCGACTGTGGCTCCACCTCAGGAACAGAGGGAACCACCGATTGTGGCTCCACCTCAGGAACAGAGGGAACCACCGATTGTGGCTCCACCTCAGGAACAGAGGGATCCACCGATTGTGGCTCCACATCCGGAGTCTCTGGAAGGCGCAGAGCAGGCTCAGGGGTCTCCAGACGGCACAGAGCAGGCTCAGGGGTCTCCAGATGGCACAGAGCGGGCTCAGGGGTCTCCAGACGGCACAGAGCGGGCTCAGGGGTCTCCAGACGGCACAGAGCGGGCTCTCCAGGAGCGCGTAGAAGGAGTCTGCTGGGCTAGTCTGTTGGCTGGATCGTTCTGTCATGAGGCGATGGTTTTACTAGCCCACATGCAGACTCACAGACACAGAGGGAGGATTAAAAGTCCAATATTTATTGGAGCTCAGAAGAAGCTGCAGGTTCAAGGCTCAGACAGGCATGGTGGCACAGGTAAGACAACGATCCAGCTCAGAGGGGAGGTCACACTCAGCTTATATAGGAAAGGCTTCCTTAATCAGCAAATAGAAAACAGCTGTCCATGCTGAGCCCAAGCTTCCCAGGCTTGGATCCACGGCGCCCTCTGGTGGGCAAAGCCCCGGATCCTGACACCTACTGCCTCTTCCACTGCTGTGCTGTCCTGTTTCTTGGTAGTGCTTTCAACCTCTGGACACTATGCTGACAGACACAGCAAACCTTCTTGCCACAGCTCACATTGATGTGCCATCCTGGTTGAGCTAAACTACCTGAGCTTGATGTGTGCGCTGTAGAGTCCGTTTCATCATACCTCGAATGTGAAAGCACCACCAATATTCAAAAGTGACCAAAACATCATCCAGAAAGCAGAGGTACTGAGAGGTGGTGCAGAACCACTCCTTTATGTGTGTCTTGCTAATTGCCAGTAATTTCCGCCTGTTGATTACTCCATTTGCACAACAGCATGTGAAATTTTAAGTTTTATTATGTTATTTACATGTTCCTTTTTTTTGATCGGTGCCATTAAGTGCACAGTCTCCATAACCTATTTTCACGGGATTGTTACCATCTTTAAGTTCTTACGAAATTTAAAATGTTAATAAATGATTTTTTTTTTTTTAATACAAAAAGGCTGTTTTTTGGGGTTTTTTCCCCACTCACTATTTTAGTTTAGCCAGAACTAAAACCAAATGAGACACTTGTGAGGTAAAATCATTTTTGTAGAATAGTTATTTAAAAACTTGACAAATAAAAACTTTAAAAAACATAATACAACTGATTAAACATCAATTTCATTGCACAAGTAAAGTTAAATGTACAAGATTATGATCTGAAAGGTCATCACTTCAAAAGTGTACACAAGCTTAGACATCCCACCTGACCAGCCTGTTATGTACACACATATGAAAATTATGAACAACCCATAAGCCTTTTGGAAATCTAAGAATTAAGATATTTTTTTATTATCTGTAAAGTAGTAATGAAGTGTGCTAATCACTAATATCTATATGCTGTCATATGTTCAGTTTAAAAATATTAGCAAAACCCTTTTTTAAAGTGATTGATTGACCGATTTCAGGAGGTAAATATTAGTGATTAGTCTATTTATTTAAATGATATCCTCAAATAATGTATCAAATAATTGCTAAAATACTATGGTTCTATGTTCTTGACACTTACTTGATGGTTCCTTCAGGAAGCTCTGGGGTGGTGGAGGATGAGGTATGTCCTAACACATAGCCAGGGATCCAGCCCTCGGCTGCAGGCGAGTGCTCGTTGGCGGCCCGGTACACCAAGAACATGTTCTGCTGGTTGCTGGCAAGAATTTGGACCACCTCACCCTGCACCACACTAATCTCATCCTCCTTCACCGCCACATAGTCCTGGGTCACCAACATGGTGGACACATTGCTGCTGCTGCTACTGCTTTCACTCTGCTGGAAAAGAAGATTGTAAAGCTTAAGGTGTGTTGCGCAATAAACACGGCACAATAATAACACATTCTTTAAGGCAAAGTTGGTCAATAAACAATCAAGTGTTTGATTTTATTGATGGAAACAGTTTAAGGCATGCAGCTATAAAAGAATTGCAAAATCCATTGTTAAAATCTTGCAACCTTTCAATGGTTAATCAAAGTTTGAGAAGTTGGGACACTGAAGTTATAATTCTCAGATGAGAAGCTCTGAACTGGAAAATCTGATATTTTCCCACAAAATGAATGTGTCTAAAGCGGTGAACAGAATATACAGGGACAACAAGAAAACCAGAGTTGTTCAAGACAAAGTGTCTTACAGCTCCCTGATCATCACTTGTGGTTATTCAAATGTAAGAAATAGAGACAAAGGATTGGTTTACAATAACTGGTTAGTGTCTGAAAGTGACAGGAAAGGAAAGAATGCAGACTGAACGTCTCATCAAGCAGATGTGACGGCTGCTTTGTGAGTCTGATCTGTTAGTAGACTCATGGAGAGCTCACAATATTCTCCACTAACGCTCTCAGTGAAGTTAGTGCACCCAGGTAGCTGTTAATCTCCACTCATGTTTCAGTAGTTGTAGTTGTTGCATGAAGAAGCAATTGATAAGAGCCAGCAGCAGGACGGCTGCTCAACAGCCATTCAGTCAGTTAGGAAGTTGTTAGTGACTAGGAGCTCAATGGCTCCCTAGAGTCAAGGCGTTGTCTTGACGTCTTACCCCGTTGCCCTGGGAGGATGTTACGGACTGCTCACTGGTGGAAGAGCAGGTGCTCATTCTGTCTGTTTCCTTACTGTGGCTGGAGTTGCGCTGAAAAGATGGCATCCCTCTTCCCAAGGTGTCCCCTCCAGCACTATTGTCATTGGGGCAGGAGAAGGAACCAGGTCTACTTGCAGGAGATGAAGGCATAGGGGGGACCAAAGCCCAGAAAGGGTTTCCTTTATGTGCTGGGCTTGAAGGGAGGAATTGTTCCTTTCCTCCTCCAGGGCTCTGGGGAGATATAAGCGGGGAAACTGTCCCCACTCGAGGGCTTCTCAGAGAGAAATTCAGAGGAGACACTGGCATCTGCGGCACTGCGGTTTTTGGATGCGTCTGGTTTTCCTCATAGCTCCCGAAAGTCTGTTTCAGACCACCGTCTGTGTTATCTGATGGCCTGTTGCTGTTATTACAGTTACTCCCCTGGGAACTTTCCAGCCTCTTTAAAGTAAAATCCTCAGAGGCTAACAGCTCTCCATTAGTTGGACTGTCTGAACAGGGGTAAGAGGGAAGGGACGGGTGGCAGGGGGACCACATACCTGTTGATCTGTCAGGCCCCTCTGGGCCTGGGGGGTGGTGGTGGTGGACAGGCTGGGGGAGCCGTGAGGAAGGCTGCGGAATGCGAGAGGGTCGAGAGCGAGGGCCGCACAGGGAGGAGGAGTTAACCCCTGATCCGCCAGAGCCACCAATTCCTCCACCTCCTCCCCCCATGCTGGAGGTGTTGTTGGTGCTGCTACCTCCTGTACTGCCGCTGCTACTGCTGGGGGGTCCTCCACCACCCACATGGTTTCTCTGGTACTCTATGGGTGATGTTAAAGCTGTGGGATAGAAGATAATTAGAATTTTTCTCTGGTCACTATATATATATTTTAAAATTCTTCATTTAAAAAAAATCTTTTTTCACAATTCAAATCATATTATTTAAAGTAAATAGAGCTCAAAAATCAGTTTAAATGTGATTATTTGGTGTGGAAATAATCGTCAGCTAATTCTGTAATTGATTTGAATCACTACCTCCAGTAATGGTGCACCGACTATAAAACATAACATTTTGTTGACAGAATAACCTACTTCAAGCAGTAACTAGGGCAAAACTCTGCAAAGAATATAAACATTTTTCATCTGAGATTCAAATTCTTCTTCATAGATGTATGCATATGTTTAACATGCTTTCCCATTATATATTATACCTGTTAAAGCAATTTTTCTTTCATAAAATCACAATTAAACATTAGAGTATTATGCAATGCACTAAATTAGTATGTAGTTAAAAAGTTTCTTCTTTTTTGCACAGGAATTAGCAAAAGTTTTTACCATTGAGGAAATTACGCTGGTTCTCCAGAATCTGGCCGACCTGGTGGACCCAGGCTTGACTGATTCCAGGGCTTGCAGAATGGAGGTTGAACCTTTCTAGGTTACCACTGGATGATCTGGAGATCAGTGTAAACTTGCAGGGGTCGTCTGAGTTTTCCTCCAGACCCAAGCAGCTCACCTGCAGAAATAGTTGCAGTCAATTTAAGTTGTCCTGGGTTACAATATATAAGCTCTCTCTTTAGCTCTTGGTGATTTATTTAAGCTGAACTCACCTTGATGCTATTCTTGAAGAGGTAGCCTGGCGTAGAGAAGCCCTTCTTTTTGTCCAGAGGCTCACTGAATATAACTATCTGCTCAAACAGAAAAAGCCGCCTCTCTTTCATTCTGGACAGGAGGCCCCCGTCTTGGTCTGAGACCATGAAGGTGTCCTGCATGAGCAGTCTGCCCTGAGCTACAATTTTACCCTGAGGAAAACGGGAAACAAACACAGAAAAAAAAATAAAAAAAAGAACTTCAGACAGGCTGTTTTTTGGAGCGCAACTAAAAGGAGGAACAAAAACACTTTTTTCTGACAATAACCGCCAACATTTCTTTCTGCAATAAATGGTTGCTTGCTGACACCTAGTGGCGGTGGACTAACTTTATATAATTTATCTTTACATTTGTAAACCTTCACAATATTACACCTTCTAGAGTTTTTTAGCTCAAAAGGGCAGACTTACATCGAACCCCTGAAGGCGTCCAACATTCATCATGTCGTTGCAGCGCTTTGGGACCACACACATCACTTCTACAGCTTTCTAAAATCATGGAAGGACAACATACTTAAAGATGAAGCATTTGCTTGTGAGTTAAGGACATAATAAGGAAACAGAGTAGAATCATCAGGCAGGATCATCGTGTGATTATATACTGAAAGCTGTACCTCCAGCTCTGTCGTATCCACTCCAGCCTTCTTAGAAACTTTAAGCAGATCCTGTTAGGTGAAGAAACAATACAGATTAACGCAATGTGTGCTTCTTAACCCCTAGAACCCTACGGACCCACAGGTGGGTCCAGCTGCTACGTGACCTCGTAATTTTAACAAACCCCCAGTATTGATGTAAAAAACACATTTGGCACAGTTTGGTGACATTTTTGGATAAATGTGCCAAAATGGCCTCTCCGCCTAAGAAATTTCTCACTAATACCATTCTAAAATAAATATGATTCATCTGATTGAGTCCAAATTTGGTATATTTTTACACAACATTTAGATTTAAAAGTCTGTACTACTTTTTTGTGCTATAAATAATATTTTGGTAGTGTTTTGCAATGTTTATTTCAAAGAAAATTTTGGCGAGGTTCAAAAAATGCAAAATATTTTGTATTTTGTCCCTAATATTTCAGGCAGGGTCAAAGCTACAATGGTGCTGACACCAGAAAACCATTCTATGACATCTTACCTTTACAGACGTACCAAACGTTTCTTCTTAAATCTAATAGCTGTGAGGCTATAAGTGATTTACTTTTGTGTGTTTTTGTCAGGCAGAAATGTATTTATACCCCCTGAGGGTGTAAGAGGTTAATCCCACATCAGTAACATTAAAAACTCCTTGTACCTTCAGTAGTAGCTGGTACTTCATAATTCGTTGCACTGGTTTGATTAACAGGTCTGTGATCTGCAATCTGTGACCCAGACGCTGCTTAAGGTCCTTGGCAAAGATATAAATAAATTACAATTATGAAACAGCTACTAATGAAATAAACGAAGATCATGCTATGCGGGGTAGGTACATGGTTAATAAAATATCTTACCTCAAAATAAGTGTCAATGTATTCTGATACGATGTGCTCAGATTTAGGTTTGTTCTGACAATACACGATGTACATGTGCAGCCTCCGCTCCTACAATTGGAGCAAAAGTATGTTTTTATAAATAAAATAAATAAATAAAACACACTAACATTTCATAACAAATTGTTCATGCAAGACAAATGTGTTTTTTTCATTGACCTGTTTGACAAATAAAGGAGCTAGCCGTTCAGGATCCTCCAAACACTTTTCAAGCTCTCCCAGGAAGAAACTGGAAGAATAAAGAACAAAACTATTGATTTCATGCAACAGAATGGGTCATATTGACTTTTCTTTTGTGTTTTCTGTAAATCTGTTGCATAAGCCCTCATGCTTCTTAAAACGCCCCCAAAGATTTAAGAGTTGAGATGTGTTTACTGAAACAGGCAATCTACGTACTCTTTGTGCCAGTCGTAGATCTGATGGATGTTTCCAAAGACAATCTTATCTTTGCCTCTCATGTCATCTGGAACTCCTTCCTCTTTCATCCTGCACATGTAGCCCTGAGGAAAGAAAAGTAAACCGATCTGTAAAACCCACAGGAAACATTGATTAATATAACTGTGACTGTTGCTTTTTAATGCCTTTACCTCCACTACAGATCCCAGGTCTCTGACATAATCTCTCTCAGTCTCCACCAACTCAAGAAGAACATAACTAGACAAGAGAAAAGCAAGATTTTTTTTTTTTTATAAAAGGCCATAATTGGTGCCTCTTGTCCAGGATTCTGCATCATTTTCCATTGCTCTCATTTGACCAGAGATCCTTGTTTGACACATCTCCCCTACATCAGGGAGTCCCAAACATTTCAGTTGACTATGACCCCAAAGATAACAATGCAACTTCACATATTTTTATATCGATTTTTGGTTCAGTTGACAATTATTTAATCATCACTTTAAATGTATTTTTATTATTTTAATATGCATATTATTTTAATAGGGATATTTATTTTTTGAATCATGCATTTGATATAATACATATATAAATAAATAAATAAATAAATAAATAAATAAATAAATAAATAACTGTACATTCATTCATTTCATTACACATTTTCATATGTGTATTTTTTTTTTTATATGTTTTGACCTCCATATACCTGAGGATTCACATCATAATGATTATGAAAACCTAGCCCCCAACTTGGTATCTTCTGCCCCCCTGGGGGGTCTGGACCCCCACTTTAGGAACCCCGGCTCTACGTAGCTAGTGGACCAATTCTTTAAACTGTGACTTTCTTGTTGCCATTCTTCTATAAAGGACAGAACCATGGAATACAAAACTATTTTGTCTTATAAAACTTCCCACTTGAGCTGTGGACCCTGCAGATCCTGCAATTACAGTGAGCCTCTAAGAGTTTCCTCTTCTTGTCTTTGTTAGCTTGGTGGAAAACCCGTACATGACATTTATGTTAGGCATGTAGTCGTAGTTCGCTTTATAAGAGGAGTTCAAAACTAAGGATATAAGGTTATGACATAAACCCGTTTAAACTTCTATAAGTCTTAGTCTTAAATTGTTTAGGGACTCTCCTAATCTTCATGCTGCTTTTTTCCCCCTATAACCCTCATTATGTATACTGAGTTAAAATTATATACACAGTTTTACCAATTAGTTGACTCAGAGAGTAACTGGATGCAATGGAATTAATTTATGACTACCAGAGTTAAGGGTTAAAAACATAAAATCCTGCTAAAATTGTCCGATTGGTTGAAATTAAACACATAAAACAATAAAATCATACTCCTCAGTCGACTATCATCCATCGGTATCAGCCGCACCCCTCTAACCTGGTTCACTTCATACCTCTCAGATAGGATACAGTTCATACAACTCAAATCTCATAAGTCCATCTACTTCCCTGTTTCTGCTGGTGTGCCCCAAGGTTCTGTCCTGGGGCCCCTCCTGTTTATTATCTACATCCTCCCTCTTGGCTACATCCTCCGTAAGCATCATATCAAATTCCACTGCTACGCGGACGACACCCAGCTCTACCTTTCTACTCAGCCATCTGCCTCACTCCCACCAATCTCCCTCACCCTCTGTCTCCAAGAAATCCATTCTTGGTTCTCATCCAACTTCCTCAAATTGAATAGCTCTAAAACCGAAGTCCTCCTAGTAGGCACACCTCACACTCTCTCCAAAGCTAATAACTTCTCGATTACCATCAATGATTCAACTGTCCTCCCCTCCCCTCAGGTTAAGAGTCTGGGTGTCGTCCTCGACAGCACCCTCTCCTTCCAGTCCCACATTAACAACATCACCCGGTCTGCCTACTTCCATCTGCGTAACATCTCTCGTCTCCGTCCCTCCCTCACTCCCCAAACTACCGCCATTCTTGTTCACAGTCTCATCACTTCACGCATCGATTACTGTAACTCACTTCTTTTTGGCCTTCCAAACAAGTCCCTCCAGAAACTACAGCTCCTCCAAAACTCTGCAGCACACCTGATCACTCGGACCCCCATTTCTCATCATATCACTCCCATCCTGCAACAACTCCACTGGCTCCCCATCAAACAAAGAATCATCTTCAAACTCCTCCTAACTACATTCAAGGCCCTTCACAGCTTGGCTCCATCTTACATCTCAGATCTCCTTCACGTTAAAACTCCCACCCGCTCCCTAAGATCCTCCCACTCCTTCCAGCTCTCCGTTCCCTCGGCCCGTCTGGTCACAATGGGGAACCGGGCATTTAGTCGCTCTGCTCCCCACCTCTGGAACTCCCTCCCTCCGGATCTCCGTACTCTGGACTCCTTCCCTCTTTTCAAATCCAGACTCAAAACTTTCCTGTTCAGACAGTCCTATCCCATCTAGTTCCTACGCATCACTTCAATATTGTTCTCTTCCTTTTCTTCCTTTGGTTTTATTTTACTTTCTGCTGTTTTGTTTTCTGTGGCATCTTATGCTTGTACTTTTTAGCTCCCTGTTTTTAATGTTTTTATCTGCCTGTACAGTGTCCTTGGGTGTTGTGATAAGGCGCTTTCAAATAAAATGTATTATTATTATTTGTATTATTACTTAGTTTTTGGTCCATGTCATAATCATTTACTACTTTGTGTTTGTGTAAAACAATAAATAAGATATACCTTATTTTCATACTAAATATTGGTGAGAAATAAAGCTTGTAACTCACTGTCTCCTCTTGAGGAAGCTGGTTTTTCGCTCCTCCAGCTCATCAATGGGTGAAGACGAGGAAAGCAGCGAGTTATCAGAAGGGTTGAGAGAGGGTGAGCTGCTGTCGCCTTGCTCCACTGACAGGGAGCTGGGGCGGTCCTCAAGGGACTGCACATCATCAGAAAGACAAAATAAAGAAACAAGAAGATTGTCAAAGCATCTAGAAAATCTTTTAGCTTGTTTTCCATCAAAATGGAGGACATCCTGGATGTAGGGCAGTGGCCAAGAGTGTCTTAGGGATTAGTGCTTTCTGGCTGGAACAGAGGACAGCTGGCACATTTAGTCAGAGTTCTGACAGATGACAAGTAGGCTTAGATTCCATTCTCCGTCACCAACACCAGATAAAAAAAAAAAGTTAAAAAAAAAAAAGCGTGTTCTTGAGTGTGCATCCATCAGAATTGTTTTGGGTACATGAGTACCAGATTTACAAGTGCTCGTAGGTGTTGTTGATGACTTGGGACTCACCATCTTGCTTTTCACCAGCTCCTCAATGGCACTGACCAGCTCTGCAGCGCTCGGCGTCTCCGAACTGTTGGGGCGAGCAGACAGCCGAGAGACAGACTGAAAGGCAGAGCAGGTAGAAGAAATGAAATCAGAAATTATGATCAGAAATCATTTTTCATATGTTGCATTGCATTCATAAGGAAACAAGAGGGTGGAAATGTTTTTTGGTTTTTTACTACTGTGAAAACTAAAATCTTATAAATAAAGAAACTATACTTATTCATAAAATATTTTTGCCATCTACCTAAAGATACATATGGTCATTCGTAATAACTATTACACTATAATAAGGCTCAGCATTCTTGTGTTTGGACCTCGATATTCCACATCTAAGAAATTATTTTTTTCCCTAATGACATTATTACTCAAAGGCCAAGCTGGAGCCAATCACGTACTGCTCTCAAAGAAAAAAAGGGATTATTAGGTAGGCATATATAAGGGTTAATCTTAGGAGCACTGTGATTGGTTAAACAGAAGTGTTGCTTAATACTCCATTGGCTTTTTTGCCTCTGGTAAAGAGCTTGGCTTAGAGGAAAATGGAAAAGAATATAAATAATAAAAAAGGAATCCTTTAGACATAACCATTTACTCTTAGTAAGGCTTTGCTTCTGCAGACACAATTAAATGGAGTTTTATCCATTAGCAACAATAAAACGGTTACTTTCCAAGGGAGGTAGCTAAATAAAGACGGAGACAGCGACTATTAAGGATAATTACATGGAAAGATGTGGTAACTGGGAGAGGAGAGGGGCAGACCAGAAATCAACATAATGCTGAAAGAGCAAACATGCAACCATTAGAAACATAAGAGGAGAAAGAGAAGGAATTTATTAGTGCATTGTTACTGTTCTTTTTAAATATATATATATATATATATATATATATATATATATATATATATATAGTTTTGAGTTAATGGGACGTGAGACAGCTTTTCTAAATTATCCCAAGAGATGATCCATCCATCCATCCATCCATCCATCCATCCATCCATCCATCCATCCATCCATCCATCCATCCATCCATCCATCCATCCATTTATCCATCCATCCATCCATCCATCCATCCATCCATCCATCCATCCATCCATCCATCCATCCATCCATCCATCCATCCATCCATCCATCCATCCATCCATCCATCCATAAGCATCTCAATTGGCCAGATAGCAGATAGTTATCTTTGAAGGGGAGAAGATAGGGAAAAGGAGACTATGAAAACAACTACTACTACTAAAACTACTCCTGGCCAGCCAGACTGACCTACACAGGAGGTAAATCAGTCTAGTAAGGCTTCATACTCTGTTCTAAAACAGACCAGACCAATCAAAGCTTGGGAGGCGGGCCCATAATGCATCAGTGCTTTTCTGTAACCATAACAGTCAAGATTGCTGCTGCAGCCGAGTAATGTCTTACTGATATTAGGGGTGAAACAATTAAACGGATTAATCATGATTAATTGATTATTGAAATATTAATCAACTAATTTAGTAACTGATTAATCATTAACTGGAGTAAAGAGACTTTAAAACATGCCTTAAGCTGACAAAGTGACCCACTTAGAACAGTAATTATATCAAATTTGTAAAAACAATATAAATACATTTTGTATTTAAGATAGAAAAATGTGTTTTGTCTGTTAATATGTCCAGAACTCCTTAAGTGGACAAGTTTTAGACTAACCTGGTTTAATTTTGTAAAAAATCTTCCATAAGTAACCTTTTATCCAATTATTGATTTAAAAAGTAAACAACAGATTAATAAATTTTCAAAATAATTATTAGTCGCAGCCCTAAAGGATTCCCTTTATTATGTCGTTGAACAGCTGCTTATATTGTTAAACTGGCGACTGGAAGGGGTTTAAAAAAAAATGTTTTGTGTTACATCATAGTTATCAGATTGGTTTACTGTTTTTGCTGACTCTGTTAGTCCTGCCTTTAAAATGGGGCTTTACGCACTCCGTTATCCTTTCTACAGTAACATGCCGTTAATTAGTCAGACTGGCCAGGCTAGAAAAATACTCACAGAAAGATCTGAGGTCCAAATACAAACCAAGGATATACTTTTATATCAGCTTCCAGGTAAAAACAAAATGGGGATTTTATTTATAAAAGGACAAAAGCCCCTTTATATACATATTCTTGTCCATTTAATACAGTTTTATACAGACAGGTCTGTGGGAGGACAGATGATGGTTTGAATGCTGTGACTGTCTCCTAGCCTGCTTGCAGATCAGCTTCTCTGACTGGTTAATATGCTGAGTTGAGCTGCAAAAGTTCAGATTTTCAAACTCCAGCATCTGGTTTGAACACACTTGACATAACAGGATAGGACAGGATATTAAATGAAGACAATCTAATATGTTGGATTTCACCAATATGCGATCAGAGCAGTCTCAGCAGATATGACCACTTTAAACACAACATACAGGCAGGATTATCTCCCTGGTTATTGGCCTCGAGAGGCCAGAATGGGAGGTCCGAAAGAAATCAGCACTATTATCTTCCCACATTAAACCCCCTTAAGATGCAGCGAAATCTGCTTGATAACAGTTAACTCATGATTTTACAAGAGATGGTTACTTTTTGAAATAGACTCAGGTAGGTCTGGATGGCATTCAAAACATTTAAGTTGGGATAAGAAGACACAGACTTTTTAAAAGCGTTGTACTTTGCAGCACATCTTAATCTCATTTTCTCTAAACAACTGTCCTCCTACTGAATATAAATCTTAGCATTTATGAGTCATCGTTCTGCAGTAAGATAAAATCTTAAAAAAAAATGGAGCACAAGCAAGCTGAAATGCAAAAACATAACATTTGCCTTTTTTGGCATTTTATCTGACATCACGTTCCATAAAATGTGAACTAACAAATCAAACTGAAAGAGATAAGTTTCCCACCTTATCATCCTGGGAGTCAGGTTGCAGTAGGCTATGCTGCTGGATTGCCATAGGGGGTGGTAGAGGGACAGCGTCGGCCCCCTCTTCTCCTTCCTCCTCCCCACAGCTCTGCATACCTGATGAGGAAGACTTGGACAGGGTACCACTGCTCAGCCCTTCATTACGCATCCGCTATAGAATCAACAGAGAGTGACAATCAGAAAGGAATCCCCTCATTCTGGGAGATCCACCAATAGTTGTTCAGCATCTGTTCTAACCTCCTCCAAGGTCTCATCCTGTGGCGTAGCGGCGCTATCATCAGAGTCCTTCTGTGAGCCAGGTATTGCATCCATGTTCTTTCTCGTGCCATCGCGGTTCTTCTTATGCTTGTGGGCGAGCTTCTTGACGTGTCCGTCAGCTTTCCCGGAGCTCAGTCGCCTCACTGGGCTGGTAAGCCACTTTCTTAAGGTGTTGCCGGGTCTTTTGGGGCCAGGCGAGCTGTGAGGTCCGAAAGTGTGACTGGACCCAGGCTGCAAGGCGTCATTACTGGATACAGACAACGTGTCTAAATGGGAGCAGAGGGGTAGAAGAAGAGAATATGAATGAGGTCAAACTGAATTTTATTTGAACTGATTTCCAATTCTTGAGAAACCGGATGGTGGACAACATCAATTTATTGTCAGTTTTATGATCCTGAGCTGTTAACAGCTAAATAAATACCTGACATAAATTTTTTTTCCAACAAGTCAAAGAATAATACTTAGAAATACAAGTTTTAATTGACTAACACACTCTTTGGTTTCATGCTTATACTGTTAAAAAGATAACAAAAAATCTTTTTAGAAATAGTTAATTAAAAGTATTTCATAGGGAGATCTAAGAAGCTGTCTAAAATGTTTGAAATTATTTCTGTCAAGACATGTATGCCCTTCATTCAAGTTGTGGAAGATTGAGACGCCAACACTTTGGGCAGATAATGGAGAAGTTGAATACAGAAAAGTTTAATTGCTTTATTAAGGCTTAGACTGATTTCCACCTCAGTGATGGAATATGTTGGATACGAAAATGTAAGCAGAATTTCTGCGGTTTTACATTAATAGGAAAGATAGACCTAAAGAGTATGGTATAAGCAATGCTACACTGCAACCAGTGTAGCACAATTTCTATCTATCATACTCAGTGAGTAAAAATAATCAATTGCACGCAGTTAAAAAACAACTTTCTTAAAGTTTGACTTCTTAGGTTGTAACTTTTTATGTCCAATTGGAATCTAAAAAACTTGATAGTAGACTTGAAAGGGACCATACAATTTTGACCAGTATATCTGTTACAAAAAAAAAAGGAAAACAAAAATCCAAAGGTGACAAAAGGGTTTTGTCTGTGAATATAAATCCAGATAATAATAATAATACATTTTATTTAACAGCGCCTTTCTTGACACTCAAGGTCACTTCAAAAATACAGAAGTTAAGATAACTTATATACCAAGTTTGTTGAGAATATAGAGGAAAGGTCAAAGTGAGAGGGAGATTAGTGTGTGTTTTTGTGCGCTTATTGTTCAGTAGGTAGGCAAGCCACCTCCACACAGTGATGACGCTCCTTAGGGAATCTGTAGGAAGAAAACTCTTCATCGAACAATGAGGAAATAAAATAGGATATAGGGACGCTTCAGGCTTTGTCGGAGTACTTTAAAGCCATGTTTTGTCTATTTTATCTATGATTGCTACCTTTAGTTTTTTTAGAACATAATCCTTTTCATTCATTAAAAAAGTAACATTTACTGGAAATCAGGAAAAGATCATATAAAGAATCTATGGCATCGATATCATTTGTCTGTTTCATGGTTTAAACAGATGCAGCTGCAAAACATTCAATCATGTGACTCACTCCAGCAACACTTATGAATGGCAGGTGTGTGGAGATTCTGCCTGTTCTCACAGAGCCTGAGAAAATGCGCCTGCTCTGCATGTAGACATGCGTTCCAGTGGCTTTGCCTCTGGAAGACTTTTACTACTCCCCATTTATAGGAAGCATGTGTTCTCACTGCACATGTGAGTGAAGAGAAAAATACTGTTCTCTAGAATCACTACCACTTCAGGCAGTGTGAAGAATCAATTGAAATCAGGTCCTTTGAGAGGATATCAGCCCGGAGAGAAAGAAATCCCTAGAAATGATATCCACCAAAAAAAGACTTGATTACCCACAGTTTAGGGTTACATGATTTGCCATCAGTACGCAATATAAAATGCAGATTTATATTCTATTTCCATTTAATGATTATTTTCCCCCCGAAAAATAAACAAACAAACGATTTACTTCCTGTCACAAAAACTTCAGCCTTAAAAATCTGTTCTCCATCCAAGTTATCTATTTCAGGATGAGAACATAGAAGCTCTGTTTATCTTGCTTGAAGGCAAATTGATGTAAAGAAAAGAAAGAAAAGCATATTAATTAGTCTATGTTTTAACTAACAGGTTGACGGATCAACTTAAAATAAAAAAAAAGGACTTAATTATCAACTTAATGTTGAAATGAGGATATTTTGCCCTATATCAACCTTCAGATCAAACTCATGCAATGAAACAATTTATGGTTGTTCTTACTATAGCAAAGTTCAACATTTCCTATCAGTATAGGGATGTGGAAAATATTGTTTTTAAATGAAAAAAATGTTTGTCCTTGTAGAACATCTGTGTTTTATATTCTGTTACCTCGGTGTCAAATTGTTATTCCAATAAATATAATGAAAACTGCTCAAATTTGGTTTATAAATCTTGTTATTGGCCTATTTTTAATGTTATTTAAAAAAAAAGATTTAGCATGTGCTTAAATTGAAAAGAGTAATATATTAAATGATCATTCATTTGATGAAATGGCATGGGTTTTGAAAAGAGAAACTCTTTTTTATGTATTTCTTAGCTTTGCTAACTCTGTTAATTGCATATTAACATAATTTGTGCTGTTAGATCCATTGCACAGTGACATAGATCGAATTAGCAGCTTACTGAGTTTATGATGTCGCTTTTGTGCCGGAGGCTGCTCATCAGATATGCTGGTTGTGAAAGAGAAGTTTGGTGAATTTCAGCCATCTGCCCAGCAGTGCTCAGCACTGTTTTGGAGAGGGCGAGTTTTGTGTTAGTCTAAATTTTGGGTCACACTGAAACTTTCTCTCTTTCTACTAAGGCTTTAAAAGCATAATTCTTACTTTTTATGAAATGTAATTTTTAAATAAAATAACAGATAATTTCCCTAAACGCTGTTTAGAAAACAGTTGTTTTGCTCAAAGGGAAAAATTCTTTCCACAAACCAAAGCAGAGGGAGTACACATCAGTCGGGCCTCTCATGTAGAACAACCAGACCGTGTTTCCTGCAGACATTCTGAGGTCACAAGGGAACATATAACCACACAGCTAGTTCATCGACCATGTGTTAGTGTGCATAAGGACTGCAAGGGAGAGCGTATAATTGCAGAAGGGGAATGACTAGATTTTTGTTATGATATAAAAAAAATTATCACAAGTTCTATGTTCAGCTCCAAGTAGAGAGTAGCTTAGTATAACTCATTGAAAGAGTGTAGAAATCAATAACTAATGCCATATGTTTCATGTTTAAAATGTTTCAACATCAGCTAAGCAAGAATTTATTTTCATGAAGTCAGTGCTCTGAGAGGGGAGGTTGCTCTAAAGGATGTAAATGTGTATAACATGGGGTCAGCAGCCTTGACACATTCCTCCTTGGAGAGTAATAACTCTTCAGAGATACAGATGGCATAAGTAGCCCTTCACCCTGCATGGTCTCCTCAATTGTGCTTCAAAGACAGTCCCTATTTGTGGGAATCTGAACTCCCTGTCCAAATCCTCATATTCCAGTGCTTCCAGCTGTGCCCAGGATGGCCAAAAGATTTGATCTCTGTAGCAAATCTTAGGTCTGCTCAAAATCTCCCGGCAGTGAAAAAAGCTGCTGTCAGGTGCTGTTAGAGGATGTGAAAACAGCTTTATATGACTTCTTTTCTGGAAGCATCTACCGAACAATCTCTAGAAAAGATGCGGCCCTCGTTGTTTCCTTCAGTGATCAGATCAGCCGCGCTTTGCAGAGAATATCTCTTCCTATTACAATAATGTTCTTGTGGTAACCCACATGACAACAGCATACAACCATGGATTAATGGGCAAACCAGCAACTTTACATTTAATTTCACTGCCTGGAAATGTAGTTGTGTCGCCCAGCTTCACTTTAAATCTGACTTCCTTCAAACACCTTGTATGCACACAAATCAAATGGCCAAAAATCCATCATTATTAAATAACTCAGCTCTGCAGAAGCTTGAAAATTAGCTCTCTATGTCACTCAGGTGTGAGTATGGGATTCCTCTAGAAGTTGCAGGACAGTAGCATTAAAGGATTGTAGCTCCGAACCTGTGCTTTTTAAAATCCTCTAATATACTTTTGCATCTTCTAATAATATCTCTGTTTCCATTAGGGAAGTGTTATCCTTTGTCTGGTCTGTTTTCCGGTTAATTCATCAACAATCGCATTTAAACATCAAACAGATTATGTGTCTAGGACAGCTTTAGCACCACCCTTGCATCTTCACCAATCAGTAGCAGGATGAACAATGTGTACCTGATACATGTGCAGAGGTGCATACATATGCATACTGCTTATATCAAACTTTATTAAAGCTATTAAATAATCAAGTCTGTCAACCAGTTAGCTCAATAATGGAATTATTTAATTTTCAGAGTAGGTGTGTATTGCCTTAATCTAAAGCAACATCACATTACGCAGAATCTTTAAGTAATATATAAACAATTTGCAGCTTTTCTACAAAAATGTTAAGTTATTTTCTATTCAGTCTACCTTCATTTAATGCACCTAAATTAAATCAAATTAACTAAATTGCTTTGAGAAGATAGTGAATCATAAATAGCGCCACCTGTAAATAATCCAAGCTCAGTATAAACAAAGCTATTCTACGGAAACTCGAAAGGTCTGTTAGAGAACATAAGTGAACAAAGAACTGAAAGACAAACCAGACACTTCAGGGATAACGCTCAAAGCAGGGTTACGTAATAAAATATCAGAAATTGTTAACATTTTAAAGAGGACAGTTTAATTCGTCATTACAAAGTAAGTGTAGAATGGTAGTTAACCCTCAACATACTAACCTAAAAAATAGAACGTTTACCAGAGAAGCAGACAAAAGAGACGCGTTAACTATAAGGTGTAGCAAAGATGTAATGCTCAGAGTGGAGTTTGTTTTTTTTAACTCAGCAAATCTGGCCTCAACTGGAGAGTGGCTTAAGGAAAAAAATCCTTCAAATGCCAAAAAAAGACTGTTCGCCAAACATTATTTGGCTCTGCTCATATGAGACCAATAATGAACATAAGGCCTACATGCAGCATGCTATATGTGGTGAGGAAACCAACAAAATGTCTTAAATGACACACGGTAGTGGCAGCATCATGATACGGAGATAATTTTTATCCTTTAGTGAGGAAATCAGACCAAAGCTGTTAGATGGATGGAGGTAAATGCAGGGCATTCCTGGAGGGTTTTATTTAGGATGGCTGTCTACATATGTAAACCACACCTTCTAGATTTTTATTTCTACATGGATTTGAAAACCATGCACAATTTATTTATCCTAGGTTGCAGCTACGTCCAAATTTCTGCTTCTGTCGCTCATAACATGAGTAAAATCATTGTGCCTATAGTGACAGACTTTTAACAAGTATGATTGGTATGAATACTTTTTCCAGGTTAGAGGAACTTAACATCTTAACAATGTTTGCACACGTGCGTGTGTTTTAATCACCAGAAATGGAAACGGGGGTATACAGCCTGTGGGTGAGGGTCGAATATACGACTGAAGTGATTAGAAAAGCCTGTGCAGCTCCAAAGAAGCATGCCTGGGATTCCAGAGGTCGTACCAGGAGAGCAATTTTTGGGTGGTCTTCTCCTCCCCAGGAGAAGTGATGCAAAAAAACAGGGATGGAAGACGTGTGGTAAAGGATCTGCCTTTAGGGGCAGAGGTACAACGTGTGGGAAAGCGTTGGGAGACTTGACAAGCTTATCTATGAACATGTGGAGATGCAAGCGAGGGCTTCCCACAGATGTATTTTTGGAGCACAGAATCAATTAGAACCAGTTTAATAAGATGAATTTTGTTTATCTTTTCTTGTATACATTAGACATCTGCAAAACACTTGTGAAAGATCTACATCGTGAAAACCTCATTCTCCTTTAATAGTTTTCTTTCATGCTGAGGTTTACAGTAAGATCCGCAGCCCATCTGTGCAAAGCCTGCCCGGTGAGCACACACACATGCACACAAAAGAAAAATCTAATCTAGTGATAGAGACTGCAGCCGATTTAAACTCACATCAACTTAATGAGGCATCAGCTAAATTACTTTTAGCGCCATAATGCGACAATCTAATCCAGAGGTGAACTTGGAAAAATGTTCAATACAAAACTGTAGAGCAAGGATAAAACCAACTGCTTTGTGCACGCTAAGGTTTTCCTTCCAAAATGTAAAGTATTTGAAGTTACATATCTATATTTATGACTCCTGTTTTCTTCTTGGTCTACTTCTTAGACTTTTATTCTCTAAAATATCACCTTTATACAGTGTAAACCACTACCAACAGAAGCTTTCATTAAAGAAGCTTGACATTCACAACCAGACTACGTAGTAATAATGCTACCACTTATGATGGGAACACCTACCCAGATCTAGTAGCCAGAACTTGCAGCTGTCTGATGGGTCGTCCCCTGATAAATCCATTGAGAAAAACGGACTCAAAGACACCAAGGACTCGATCCCACGGGCCATGTTCACTGAGTATTAAGCCTCTGGATTTCAGACTTATTCTGTTAAAGCATTTCCACACGTATGAGAGCTTTTCTGAAAGAAAATCCTATGCTAATCTGAACAGCTTTGGAAAGGTCTTGTAATTAAATAAGCGTTGCCGATATTCCACAGAGAGGAAGTGTGAAGTCCGGAGTGAGGATGAAGGAGAAGTCAAATGCTGCATTATACCGTAGGATGTTTTCCTCTCCCTCCTTTGTATCTCCTCTTCCTCCCACCCTCCCTAGCGAGTGGGCTGCTGTGAGGATATCTCCTGTTCCAAAGGGACGTCTGGAAACATGAGGCTCATCTACCGTATTACCCTTCGTAGAAGCACCCACACAGCTTGTGTGGGCGGGTACATATTTTACAGGCATTAGGATGCATACAAGTTGTGCAGTATGCTTGGAATAAATATAGACTTGGTTATGAAATCCATCTGAGGTGAGCAGGAAAAAAGGCTCACCGGCAAATATAGAGGTGAGATGCACAAAGATATCTCAGTGTAACTCTAAATGAGACTTCGTGTCTTTCCCTGGGCTCTAAACCAACCCTCTCCTGTAGGTACAGAAGTGCTAAAACCCTTATTTTTGCTGGAGGTTATCAGTGGCAGAGCTTTTTACAGGATGCTTCTGTTTTTAAGCTGCACTAGAAGCATAACGTTTGATCAATAAGCATATTATAGGTTACAAACTAAGAATATAACAAATAATGTATGTGAATGATTTTCAGGAACAATTTTTGAAATAAAAAGTGACACCATAAAAACAAGCAAAAATGCTTTTCAGACTATTTCTTTGGTTTGAACTTGTCTCTATTTTGTAAAAACCCTGATGAGACACAGAGTGCGAATAGGAATAGATTCCTGGTTGAGGCGACACCCTGATTTCCCAACAAACGACTTTCTCTTAAATTCCAAGGAAAAGCACACAAAGAAAAAAACTCCAAGAAAACAAGAAAAAGGAAGAAAAAGACAGCATAGGTGTTTTATTCACTTTTGTCCACCACCTACACAGACAGTTTTTTCTTTTATTGCAACAACCCCTACAGTGAGAGCCTCCTTTTCATTACTCCCTCTGGCCACATAAAGAACAAAACTAACTGACTGTGAAAGTGCAGTCAAGGAATCACAAACATGATAGGATGCAAGGACAGAACAGCTGGAGTTGAAACTGTTCAATAAGCAGTTGGGAAATGTTTCCCCTGGTTTCTGTTGACCTCTTTGAGTAAATCATTCCGCTAACTCCAATGCAGACTTTCCCTTCACTGACTAAAAAGAGGCTGTGAGCCAAATATCTCCATAGAAACAAACAGCCCAGATCTCACCCACTCTTCCAGATTCAAAAATCTAAAACGCACAATAAGTGGACAAGGGAGCCGTCTTTAACTCTGACTTACTTTACAGTATTAAAAAATACATATTTTCACATTTTTTTACAATGAGTGTATGTGTTTAGGTCACAAGGAGATTAATATTGTATAATTGGAGGTAAAAACAAGTAGTATAAACTGCACCTGCATCAAGAAAAAAGCCAGTGGGCAGGAGCATTTCCAGGTGATGCTAAAAATAAAACTCCTGATATTGATATTTGTTACTCCTGTTATTGTTACTCCTCATTTCATGAGGGCAGAGGACTCAAACAGCCATGTTCAGGATCAGTGAGGTGCTTTAAACAAATCTACTGGGAAAATGTATTTTCTCCAACATGTCAATTTCAAGACATGTCTGTGGTTCATTCAGACTGATTGACACCTTTTCCACTGATATTAATGGGTTAACTATGGTCGACCCGCTAACAATCGCCGTTTAGCTTCCTTTCCATTGACAAAAAAAAAAGTTGCATCTGACCCCCAGTTGTCAAGCTGTGTGTCCCCCAACCGCTCCGTGTCTGGTGACACCATCACGCTGGGTTAACAATGATGTTGTCACCAATGTGAAAGAATTCAGGAACGTAAACAATGGAGAGCAACATGTAAAAAAAAGCCAGGGTGTAGTACATGTGCTTTATTGTTTCACTCTTTTTTGTCTCTCTGAACCGTCTTACTAGGGCTTCACCGTGTTTATCAAATGTAAGCAGAGTTATTTTGGCTTGTTAAATCAGAAGCAACTACTAGGGTGTGTCACCGTCCGTTTATGCTCAATGGCATCACGTAAATTATCTGGTCGACCCGGGTCTGATGTTCACACTGTATGCTGATCAGAGCCAAGTTGTTTGAAGACGAATTTAACCCGGGTCGCTTGCCGAGTCATTTGACCCGAGTCGACAAAGATCAAGGAGACGTTCCCACTTCCACTAACAGCCAATTGTTGCCAGGTTTAAATAGGTTTTGTTGGGGTTAGTTAGCAAGAAACTGTAAAATTGAGATAAGTCAAAGTTAATTTGCTTATCCTTAAGAACTTTGCTGAGAGGCGTGCTGAATTTAGAAATGGGTACAGCCTTCTCAGTATATTCAGAAGGGAATAGACTTGGCAATTGATATTTTTGTAATAATAATTAAGCTAATCTCATATATGTTGCTTAGATCATATCGAAACGTCTACTCTGTAATGAAATTTTGCAACCAAAGCTGTGTTTCTAATAAAAAAAAATGACACTATAATAAGCCCTCACCAATGAAAGGTTTAAAAATACATACAGTAGAGTTCTTTTATCATCTAATTTTCAACAGGAAACCAGAATAAGCTATAGCTATTATCGATAGTCAAACGGGTCACTCACTAAATTTTGACAGGTGTAGCTGTATTGGATAAGTTTGAGAAAATTTTAATGCATCTAACCATGAAAATTATTAGCTTTGGTTTTTTAATTTGAACAAATTACAACACTCCAAGAAAACAGGTGGCATTGCATGATATCATCCAACTGACCCACAAAACTGAAACTGAGCTGCCCCTGAGGAACAAGTGGAAAAACCCAAAGAGATTAAAAAAGTGTTTAGACAATTTCATCAAACAATATGATAGAAGTCCATTCAATATTTAAACCAGTATGGAACTGGCTTATCTTTATGACAGATGCATACTTTGACATTACATCTTCCAGCACTTCACAATAGAAGGACACCTATGATTAGTGTTTGCTATGCTGGAGACATGGGCTGGTTCATGTTTAAGTCAAGAGGAGGGCTTCCAAAGGTAATAATGACGTAAGTTACTACTGAGAGGAAGTCATGAATGTTTTTAAAGATAATTAGAAGAACTGTTCTTTAGATGTGTTCCTCACAGTTGCATAGCAACACTCGGAAATAGAAGCAGCTTTTTAATAAGAAACAGAGACTCTTTGGGTCAGCTGTGATATGTTTGCCAATAAAAAGAAATGGATCCTGTAGAGTTTTCTGTGTCCATGACTGCTGGTCTAGAAGTGCAAGTGTTAAGTGTTACGATTAATGGTGAGAAAAGCAAAAATTTAAGAAAACCTGCTAATATATAATAGCTGTTGTGCGAGATACATCTAGGTGCAAACAATCCTTTTTTAATCCACTTATGTCTAAAGAAACTGAGTAAATGCTCTGATCCTACCTTTGTGGTTGAATAGCCCTTCCATTTCCATGGAGGATCGGGAGTGAGCAATGCAGAGAATGGAACAAGGAACGATTCCCTCCTGAGCGGGAGAGCGGTCTGTGGTCCTGACCAAGCACCAGTCAGGTTTATCATGGAGCCGCTCCAGAACCTCCACAGTCTGGCCTCGTCGTACAGTGAGCTCCCCATTGCTGCCACTGTTACTGGCCACAAAGTCATGGATCACCACTGTCAGCTCACAGCCACCAGAGAGCTGCAATGGAAGCAACAGGTCATCACTTGTTAATATTTCAAACACAAAAAATGACCTGTGACAGGAATCTGATGAGCTTTACTTAATTTTAAATAGATTGTTGATCACTTAAAGCACCATACATAAGAAATAAGAGGTCATGCCAATGACACCTTGTGGAGAGATCAGTCATAGAGCCAAGAAACAAATTTAAGCTTCAGTAAGATATTTTAAAATAAATCTATTAAGCTAAATAAATAGATCATTAAGGCTTCAAGAGCTCAAGACTCTCGTAAGATAACAGGAAGGCTGAACTGGGTTCAGAGGAATAGCTCTGTTTTATTCTTTTGTGCTTTAGGTCTGTCATGGAACATACTGAATTTGGAAATGTTTCTTACCCCATTGTTAATTAGTGTTAAAATAGTAACTAGAAATACATACGGTGATGCAATCAACATATGCCAACCTTGCTTTTCTCATATAAGGTTAACAATGTAATCTCTATATATTATCTTGTCTTTGTTTTTGAATACAATAAAATCCAGTTTTATCTTCACAGTTCTCTAACACAGCTTTATTTTCCCTTTCTGTTGCTAATGTAGATAAGGACTGCTCCAGGCACTAAAGCCAAAAACACCATTTTGACTATAGATTTAAACTGGAAAAAAATTGTAAATATGCTACAAAAGTTTCATTAATGCCTCTCTCAAACATTTACTTTATTTTTTTTATTAACTACAGGAAATATGTATAAATATCTAAAATCTACACATCAAAGTGTACATGTATAAAACCCAGGACAATCTGTTGCTATTTTAGCCCAGGCTTCATTAAACAGATATATTAATTCATATCTAATACCAATGTAAACATTTCACATCATGCTGTCACAGACCTGGACAAAAATATTGTACTTAACCTGCACAAAAAATTATTCAGATAACCATGAATTCCCTAAAGCAGTTTTTTTAATGATGTCTCATACTTATTGCTTGTGACCTTTAACTATGTGCTGCTTTGTTTTAATGATTGTAAAAACAGTTTCCCTAAATGGAATAAAATGCTACCATTGGAAGTTTTCTGCCTTAAATAAATCTGGTATATAAAATATTATGAAACTTACATAGATGTATGTATTCTTTTTAAAGCCTGAAAAAATTTTAATATGTATGCCAGAAAACAAAACGTTACAGTATTGCATCATAACATGTTACTGTTGATTAAAAAGTTCTAGTATTTAGGAAAGTAATGACCATAAAATCAGGTGCATCTCCTGCGACTGGTATTCAGCTCCATTGTTCCATTCCTGTATTACACCAATTATAACATCTGACAAAAATGTCAGAATAAGCAACATACCCTTTGATAGTGTGGCAGAGCCAGAGAGCTGAGGAGCTGAGAAACAGGGTTTGAAATCTTCTCCTCAAGTTTATCAATCGTCTTCCACTCCCTCATCATGAAAGATGGTCAGAGTAGCAAAACAAGGTCTGGAGATCAGTGTGATGGTCAGGCGAGATCCCTAAAACATTCCTGAATCAATCACCTTCGAGGACGATCAGTGGATACGGAGATGTCACCCTCAAAATATGTTAAGCTATTTTTTCTAAACCTGTGGCATAGAAGATGTGTTTTTTAAACTATTCCAAAGCAAGATGAAAAGTTGTCCTCAAGCTCTCGTCTGAGGTCCTCACTTTTAGACTACTAAGGCTTGAATAATCTCCTCACGTAGATTTCCTCTCTGCAGCAGAACAATTTAATCCATCCTTCCTCTAACAACTGCTTCCAAAAATTGACCTGGCTGAGGCCCCACTTCATCAAAAAATAAGCACATTCCAGCAGAGTATAAGGTTAAAAAAAACAAAAAAAGTTTGCCCAAATTGTAAAGCAAAGTTTGATGTGACAGGATAATGCAGTGCTCTTCTGTCTGGCAAGGAGACGAGCATCCTCTGTGAAGAGAGAGTGGGAGGCTGAAGCTGCCGATACACAAGTCATTCACTTCAGCACAGAAACACACCGGAACAGGAGCGCACACACTCCCCCACAGCAACACAAGCACGCCACTGTCACTGCCTCCTGAATGCAATGTCTCATGCGAGTCCTCACAAAAAGAGAGGAACACAGAGATGCATTCAAAAAGTGGGAAAGAGATGCACATTCATGTGCACGTGTTCCTCTGTGTTCTGGATCGTTATGCATGCGAGCATCCTCCAAACTAAGGGGACGGTTCTTAATAAATTAGCTTCTTTGAGGATTTTGACTGAAGCATGCAGATGCACATGCAGACATAGAATAATTGGCCTCGTATCTGAAACAGTCCAATGTTGCGTAAAGCAGCTGGAGAGTTGCGATTTGCTCCACTCTAATAGTTAAACTATATAACTGAACATTATAATTTTCCTATTTCCCTGATTGCAGAGCAAGATGACGAGGGCTAATCTGGGGTAAATCCAAGTCAAGTGTGAAAATAATGACCTGGTGCACTGCTCAGGTTTATAATTATTACAACACGAAGGGAGAGAAGGATTTATTTTTTATCCAACTGTGCTGGGTGTCAGCTTTACAATTGATCATACTGAACGTGGGAGGATAAGCCTTCTGTGGTGCGATAGCCACATATAACCACAGCTGATCGTTTCTGTTCCCAGAGAGCTAGGATCCTCTCTATAACACACACACACACCAGCAACACACACGCTGATTTAGAGTTCTGTCAGATGGGCTGTTTCTTCCACCCAACACAATCAAACACTTTCCCAGGAAGTGATTTCAGGACAGTTGTCTGCATCTAAGCAGGTTGCAGCTTCTGACGGACATGCATGACGGTACTGATCCTGACCAATCACAGACCAGCTATTATTACATAAAAAAAAAAAAGAGTGCTTTGTGATATAGGCAGGGAACTAAATAAAGACTATAGAGGTAAAGCTTGGTGGCTATGAAGTAATGCGTTTGTGTGTGTGAGGTGCAACCTTGTCACTGTCCAGTGTGTTCTGGGATGTCCGGGAGGCGATAGAGATGGTGTCTGGTTGACTGCTGGCATCTCCTTGGCTGTCGAGCTCCTCTCCATCCCTTTAGGAAGATAAAAACATGACATGTTTATCAAAATGTTAAATTAAAAACAAACAATTGATGATTCTCTATATATTGCTGAACAGTGACTCAGCCCTTCCTCATTTTATTACATTACAGCCACAAATTTCATAGTGTTTTATTGAAGTTTTGACAATACCAACACTAAGTGGTACTGTATTGCAAAGTGCAAGGATAGTAGAAACTATCTAATGTTTTCAAACAAAAAAATCCTTAACACGTGTCAATGATTTTTATTTAGCTGCCTGGTATAAATAATTCACAGACATATCTTTGCTTTACAATTTTACTATTAAACACTAAAGATTTTTTTACCTTTATCATAAATAGCTAAAGCTCAGTGAAACAGATATGGTGTTTAGCTCCATATTCAAAATAAAATAAAATAAAATACATAATAACATGTTTATTGTAAACTTTAAACTGGACCAATCTTCTCTTAACAGTGGCTTTATTTTCTCAATTTAGGACATCCACTATAAAAGCTGACCCATCAGCAGATTCTCCAACTTGAGGTGTTGATCTCTCCACGACTCTGTTATAGGCTTCTCTAAACTTTAGTAATGCCAATTATGTTTTCCCCTAATAATGCTTCTTTGACAAACCTCAAATTGTATTTTTACCACCAATAAATTCTGTCTGCATTCACTATTTATACGAATAAGGTGACTTCTAAAGGTGATAGGTAGCATTAGCACTAACTTGTATTTAGGTAAAGTAAAATGGGCTGAATATAAATACAGTACATACCACTTTTTTTTATCATATTTGTAAAAACCTTGGAGAACTATTAACCCTTTTCATTAATATTAAGAACTATCCAATACTGCCTTGCTCTATCACAAAGTTCTTTAAGCCTTTTACTTTTGTTTTACAATTCATGTGTATGCGATTGACTTCTGTAACTAGCTGCTGGATCATTACCGTCTGCCTTTATGTTTAGCAGTAGTGGTTTTGGGGATATGAATAGGCTCCTTGAGAGCTCCACGCAGGATCGTCCGTTCCTGGATGACCTCCCTGATGTGCTTGATCCAATCCTGCTTATTCTCAATACTTGATGCCTGGGACAAAGCACAGCACATGAGCGGCTCAGACAAAGGTACATATAAAATAAAAACTTACAACACTTTAGTATTTTTCTCTTGATCTGTTTTCTCAAAGGAGTAAAAGCAGGTGTTTTTTTCACTGAGTGTAAATGAGTGGCCTGTTGACTGATGGCATTGTCTAAGTGCGTAGAGAGGACAGAATGACATTTAATTACTGCTTTGTTGGATTCTACAAACTAGTCACTAATACATTCTCAATAAACTATGAATTCTTCATATTTTTTAAAACCACAACAGCTTCATCTACTTAAAGGTTTAGTAGAGGATTTTCGTGAATTTTTAAAAAGACCCACCCTCTCCACTTTAAACAAAAATGCACGTCTACAACTCTGTTCCCGCTCCAGAGAGGGAACGCCAATTAAACACCTGCGAGGGCGTGCGCAAGCCCATTTCTCCTCGTGCACGCTCTGTTTAAAACTTGCTATATGCACTGCTCATACAAGCTTACTTTCCAAAAGAAGATTTGAAATTTTTCCACTATCTCAAACTCACCACCTGTAAGTGAAAATGGGGATGAGCAGGAAGGACGGCCTTATGTAAACATATCACCAGAATGATTGACAGTTAGGAGGACTACTTATTTTGATGATCCACCCGGTAAAAGAATATCCTGCTCTATACCTTTAAGTTTCACTAAGTAACCAGGTACCAGGGTTGCTGCAGATCTACGTTATATGAAATCCAGTATAAATGGCCATGCTATGCCGTGTTTAAACAGCTGCAGCCATAGTACTATATATATACCTACTGTATGAAGATACACTTCAGCATATTAGCAGGAGTTTACCTTTTAACAGCAGGCTTAAGGTGATGTTTGGCCTGGTTTAGATGTCCAGAATTCATTCTTAAGTAGGACTGCATTCAACTAACCTTTATTTAGCAAATCTATTTTTAGATTTGCAAAGATTATTATTTTTTCGATTAATTGATTGAAGAAGACTTTTTACTAAATTAAACCGGGTGAAACTTTTCCACTTGAAGAGTTCTGAGATTTTTTTTATCGTAAATACAAAATGTTAATATATTTTTTTACAATCTTGGTATAATTACTGCTATAAAAGGGTTTCTCTCGCAGCTTAAGGCGTGTTTTAGTCTTTATACTCAGTTAACGATAAATTGATTACTAAATTAGTTGACCATTATTTCAATAAACGATTAGTCACGATTTATGTGATAAATTGTTTCAGACCTATTCTTAATGCTTTAGTGTTATATAATTGTTTTGTTGCATGGTAGGTCCTAGATTCTATGTGAGTCTCTTATTTATACACAAGCATCTAGTTTAGAATATTCTAAGAAACATTCATCTATCTTCATAAAGCAATACCTCTTTCTTGTTGGATGAGAGCTAATTAGTTGCTGGAGTTTGAATAATAACTCCTTATCTCTGTGCAATGTTTGTCTGATGCAGTGTTTAAGTGAAAACAACGGAAGGAGGAAAAGTGTCATTAAATGTATGGTGATGAATGGAATTTTGCAGGTATATTTGAGGTGACATGGCCTTTTACACGCTGCGTTTCCACAGCAATCAGAAGACCACCAGAACCGATATGTGAGCTACATTACAGAGATGTTGGACTGTTATCTCAGAGCTTATAATGGTTTACAAATTGATTATTCCTCAGTAGAAGCTTAGACAGGAAGACAATTCTAAATTATATATAAATCGAATAAGATCAGAGTAAAAACTAACAATTTGAATATGAATTGATAAAAGAATTTACATTTATCTGCTCAAATTCACACAAATCAATGTGTTTGATTTGTTGGGAGTCCATAGCCATGAGAAAGATTTCAATTTAAAAAGGAAATGTTGTAGTGTAATAGGACATAACATTTTAAGGATGTACAAGCCAATTTATAATGGAAAATAAACTGCATGTAATAGAGCTACATGTTAATTTTGAAACAACCTTTATGAAAACTGATGAGTCTGGCTGCTAAACTGAATTTCTGCTAAAAAGTAGATCTGTGTACAAATTTAGGTTTACCCCATAAAGATCTCAGCTTTTAGGGGTTGGAAAACAGTCGTCTTTTTTTCCAACACCATAAAACCATCAGTGACCTACAGTACCCCTGATTATTTAAAGGAATGGGAATAAAGGGCAAGTGTTGGGATCTGGAGCTGTACCACCTTCCTCCAGCAGAGTGCGCCGTGGGTCTCCTGGAGCTGGAGCCTTCCAGCACACCTGAGACGCATCTACTCATCAGGAGACCTCTCCTTTATAACCAGCTGCCAGACCTTGCTTCGACGCCGCAGTGTTGACCTTAGTTTGGTTAGCAACCTGAGCCTTGAAACTGAAGAATCTTAGTTGTCTCTTGAGAGAGATCAGATTCTAACTTTCCTCTGTTTTTGCCTCACAGGAAACCTGTCTCTAGCCTGAAGCTCTGGATGAGCTTAACCAGCCAAATCTGCCCTGGTGAGCCAACCTGAAGATTCCTATGTGGATTCCCCTGCTGCTCTTAGTGAAGAGCTGGAAACTCTGATCAAGGTCTGCCATTCAAAGTCAGAAGCTAGACGCTGCAGCTGCTCTTGAACTCTGCTGAACAAACAGTCTCTGGACCCAACGGTTCCCTCTCTCTCTCAAAGAGAAGCCAGGACTCAGTCAAGGTATAATCATGAATTATCAAAGACTCATAACTCATCTGCCTGCCATCTAATCAAACTATCATCTCTGCAGACTTCAGTGAACCAGCCCGGACCAGTTCCTGACCCAGTACATTATCTTGTGTTTTGTGAAACCTTCAATAAACTCTGTTAAACTTTTACCCAGCCTCCGTTGTGTTCTGCATGTGGGCTAAGAACATTAAACCCATCATGACAGCAAGTGGTTAAATGGGATTCACCTTTAGCCACCTTCATATGAACAATATGAGCACTTCAGAGTAGTTTTTGCGACTCCAAATATTTTGTGATTCCACTTCTATCTTTAAGTGCTCTGAGAAGGAAACCACAGAGCATCGCTGGTTCATACCTTGAGGACAATCTTGTTGTCTGAGGTCGGCGTCCTGCCAAGCCACAACGCAAACTTACAAGGATCCCCCTCCACATGTTCCGTCACTCCGAGCTCTGATGTCTGTAGAAAAAAGCCGAAAACAAGAGGAGTCATACATACAACGGAACTACAGTCAGCAGGGCTTTTGTTAACCTACACAACACACGTCAATGGGATTTATTGTAGTAAATTAGGGATCTTCTTACAAAGAGCTTGCTCTTGTAGAGGTATTTACTGCGACCGTTTGAGTCTTTAACTTCCTTGCTAAAGACCAGGGACATCTCAAAGAGAAACAGATGTCGGTCACGGCCTTTCCGGATGAGAGTCTTTGGATCCCAAACCTGGAAGGACTCCTGTAGTATCAGCTCCCCCTGGGAGTCAATGTTCCCATCAAACCCTGAGAAATCAAAATAAGATCTGATCAAGCAAAGGATCAATTCTGCTACACTGGCACATTTGGACACAACATACAATATTATACTTTAGTATATGAAACCTAAATTTGTTTTATTGAGAGTGTAGGTGATGGGAAATAGAGGAATATATAATTGCTTTTATAAGACTCAAATAAAAATTTGTTTTTAACTCATTTTAATCTAGCTTATATTTTATTTAGTTTGATACAGTGAGCTTGCAAATCTTTATATAATTTAAATACATTTTAGTAATTATAGAAGTAGTCAAAAGACTGCTGGAAACATAGAGCTGAGGTAGGAAATATTTTCAGAGGAAAACTAAACATCCTGGCTACTACTAAGATGCAGAGATCCGATATTGACTGGATAGCTGGATCAGATATTGGTGATTTAATATTGGAGATCAAATCCATTTCACTTTACATGAAACTGTTATTTATTTATGTTTGCTGCTTTTTGTTAATAGATAATATAAAGTTACTTTATATCTATGTTCATTTGTTACCTTTTTTTAGTCAATGTTTCTGCCAAGGATAAAGCCTTCACTCACATGGCAAGATATATGGTTTGGATTGGTCTCGGATATCAGCTGATACGATCAGCCCAGGTATAGGTATCGGATTGGATTGTTGCATCTCTAGTATAAAGTTAGCAATAAACCATCAGTTGCTCTAACATGAGGTAAACATATCAAACTTTTTGTCCTATATGTAAAACATAATGTGTGGTGAAAAAATTAACAATCTACATGAAATTACCATCCCTGTGGTGAAACATGGTGGTGGCGGTATGATAATGTGGGAAGCTTTGATTGGAGGAAAGGCATCGATTAATCTATGCTGACATACAAAGTTTTTAAACTTTTTCTGTGTTAATGTCTCGAAAAATTAAAGCTGAGAAACATGTTTGCCTTTACTCTACAATTGTTCACTGCCGAGTGTTGGTAGATCTTTAAATGAGCACACTGAAGAATCTGCTTATAAAAGGAAAAAGAAGAAAAAAACAGAACAAAATATCAAAGAGGTTAAAAAGTAATGTTAACATAAAGTCTCTCAGCTCACAGCTAAAAGAAAATGACAGAGATAGTGATAAAAAAAATGATTCATGGCAGTTTAGTCTCTAGCTGAGAATGGAAAGCTGTTATTTTGTTTTACAGAAAAATACACCAAAGTATATTTTTCTGTAAATGTGGGGAGTTTACTCTGTTTTCACAGTCACATCATTGGGACCTATGTCCTTATGGGGACCAAAATCATGGTCCCCATTAGGTAAAGTTTTTTTCTTTGAGCCAGGGTTAGGTTTAGGACTAAGGAGTTAATCCAGTTTAGGCAAGGGTTAGGCATATGTTGGTTATAGTTAGAGTTAGGGAAAGGGTCTGGTTTAGGACATATTAAATTAATACAAGTCAATGAAAGGCCTCCATATGTCATGAAAACAAGAATGCGTGTATGCGGGTGTGCGCATGATCTGAGTGTACACACCTTCCAGCATAGAGAGGTGCATGGCATCATTGGCTCTCTTTGGAACGCTGAGCATCACTTCAAGACCATCCTTGATCTCACCTTTGCCTTCCTCACAGCACGTCAACAACTCCTTTAGATGTGACATATAGACATGTTTGCCATGAACTTAAAAAATACTAAATTTTTCAGGTCTATGTCTTCTTTTTTTCACTTTCAACTTAAAATTTTGCAGATGACAGATCATATTTCAAATGAAATGCATTTGAAACGTTCTGTACCTTAAGGAGTAACTGGTATTTTGTGATCCGCTGGACAGGCTTGATGAGGTAAGAAGAGATGGAGTTGGCAAGACGATGTCTTTGCTGAATTTCCTGTGGATTAAAATAAGAAATTGCTATATAAGTAAATAAAAAGTTTATTAAATCAAAATTCTTTTGATATTCCTATGCTTTACTCACATCGAAGTAAGGTCCAGCATGCTCTAGGATGAGCTGCGTGGAGTCGGGTTTGTTCTTGCAGTAGTTCACATACATCTGGAATTTATCAGCCTTAATACAACAGATTACAATAATGTATTAGATCAAAGATACTAATGCTAATAGGAAAACACCAACTACAGGAATTCTCACAACATCGCATGTTGTTTTTATACCATGTTCTAGGTCAAAACTTGATTCTGATTATAATATAAGTAAGAACAACCATAAAATTGTTCTGGTCAAATAGCCTGACCGTATTAAAGGTTGTTCTGGCTCCCTCTGAAATGATACTTTGCATAATTAAACATAAGAAAAACACGGCTTCATATTTCTCTGGGAATGGTTATCTGACACCAGCTCCAGCACTTTTAGATGAATGGGCTTAACCAAACTTGTAAAGCCTGACATCATAGAGCTGTAAATGATACTCTTAAAAAACAAAACAAAAAAAACAAATGCCAACAAATGCCTAAAAATAAAATGCATCTGTCAGATATGGGTTGATTGTGAAGATGCAGGATTGCACAGCTTCTCCCAGCAATTTCTCACTAGAGTAATCCACTACATGACAGCACATATGAATCAAAGGTGATAATATTACAACCAATCTGAAGAATCATATAATAGAGTTGTAATTACTATGTTATAGCAGAAATTAAATTAAATAAGAACAATAAAAGCACAGAATTCAAAACATGCTCTCTTACCCAGGTCACAAAACAATGACCAACATCCTCTGGGAGTTGCTCATACTTCTCAAGCTCCTTCAGGAAGATGCTGTTTAGAGGGGAACACATTTACATAACCATTATAAATTACCTGCCTCTTTAAAAATAAGTCAAATTAAAATATATAGACATTGCTGCTTAACTGACTTGTGATGAAATTCGTAGAGATCCTGCATGTTCCCAAAGATGATGTGTTCCTTGTTGACAATACCAGGAGGAATCTCCTCCACACCACTGGTCATTTCCCACAAGTATGTCTGCACAAATACAAGCATATGAAAACAATTTATTAGATACCAATGCAGGTATCTGAAGCATGAACACATGTTAGATTTAAGTGTGACTATTCTAGACAATGCAAACTATTAGGGAGTTAAAGCAAACTATACTAAAGTGAATGGGACTGTGTGTATTTCTAGGGACTGTCTGACCGATGCAGCAATTTGATCGGAGGGTCATAAGTCGGAGAAGACAAGAGACATAACCTTTTGGAAAAATACAAATGAAAATATTTAAAGTGCAGCATAAACTAATCAGTTCCATAGAAATAACGTGAAAATGTTTATCATTCAGACTTACAGGTGGTGCGAATGCAACCTGTTGGATGGACTTGAACATGCACAAATTATTAAAGTAAAATGTTACTGCCTGTACATTTAACTGCTCATTCCCATGAGTCATGTGATCAGTTCATGGACTCTCTATTAGGAGCCGATATGCTTTCAAGAAAATGGATTAAGGCTTTAAAGGTATAGTGAAGGATTTCTGCAAATTTTTGAACAAACCCACCTTCTCAACCGAAAAAAAAAAAAAATGCAAATGCACAAATCTGTACCCGCTCCCGAGAGGGAACACCTATTAAATGTGTCCGAGAGCGTTCTCCTCATGCAAGCTCTGTATAAAATGTTTTTTTTTCATCGCTCATACAAGCTTACTTTTCAAAAGAAGATTTGCAATTTTCACTGTCAGACTCACCACCAATAGGTGGTTGCATAAAGATATCACCAGAATGATTGACAATTAGGAGGTCAACTTATTTTGATGATCCACCCGGAAAAAAAAAAAAAAAAAAACATTCTCCACTATACCTTTAAGAGTCAAGATGTGTGTTTTGGCTTTCAGAGGCTCTAGGAAACAATATAATGCAATACTCACATCCATACATTCACGCAGGTCTCTGACATATGATTTCTCTGTTTGAATCAGCTCAGCCATTATGAATCTGGAAGAGAGAGAGAGAGAGAGAGAGAGAGAGAGAGAGAGAGAGAGAGAGAGAGAGACAATAGAGTAGTACATTTGCTTAGTTAAATAAATAACAAAAATGAAGTAAACACATTGAAATAAAGCCAAATTATTAACAATGTTCATGTTTTAGCCGTCATGTATCTACAAATATAGCAGCAACTGAGCCATTTGTGGATCATTTTACCTGTTCTGATATTTTGCAGAGGAATAATCTTTTTTGAATTACAAAAGCAATAGTTTATGCTATTGTTATGGATCTATGAAAGTTATTGACGATATAAATATATAAAAACTATTCCTTATTTCTTTTTGTTGTTATAGTTTTTTATTCACAGATGTAATTTTGAACGTTTTAATCAGGTTAGTCAATGTTGCTGCACTACATTGCACTCTATGTGCTATTTTTCCATTCATAATATTGTTTTTCTTTTTAACCATTAGCTGAGAGCAGCACAATGCTGATCAAGTATATTTAATAAATACAGTTAGAATAAATAATATTGAATCAGTGGGGAATAAATGTCAATATTAGGTGCCTGTAGATGCATTATAGTTAATCCAAACTGTTTTTTTAACCATGTCGGTAGCTCTGGCAGAAAGCAGGGTTCTTTTTGGATGCATTCAATTAAAAACTTGGTTGTGATATTATCTGCAGCAGTTTAACTATTTTTTCCTCTCAGCATCTAAGCCAAATAGAGAATGGATTCAATGCCAAGTCTTGAGTATTTATAGGGAAAGTCCGAAAAAGTCTCAGGTCTCTGTAGAGAGAAAATATGTTCTCATCAAATCCACGACATCTGTTGTATAAATATAAAACTTTGCATTGCAAAAGTGAACAATTTGTCCTCAGTCCTAAAAAAAACATAATAATAATTTTCTATATTTTCATATTTAATCATTATTTTCTGTCTTTATTTTATCCACCATCAGAGGAACTGCTAGAGAATGACTTATTTATATATTTATAGATAAATATTATTATATTTAGAAAACTTATCAGATTTAATATATACCCTATTTGAAATAATAACATGAAAAGGCCTTTATGCCCTTACAGTAATAAAATGCATTAAAACCTGTTAATAATAAACTTTTCAATAACAACTGGTTATCCCTGCTTTCATATTGTCCACTCTTTCATTGAAACTGAACTAGAGAAGGTGTGGACGGTTTTCCTATTTTTGCTCTGGGGAAATTTGGAAGCCCTTTTTTAAATCATCAATTAAAACCTTTGTTCCTAATTTTGAATAGTTACGATGTTTTAATTTGACAAATAAATGATCAACAATAAATGTAATAAAAATTTGTTTTAAATAAATAAATGTATTAACATTCTGAATGAATGGAAGGGCTTTTATTCTAATAGGTGAAAATGTCCCTATAATGTCACGGCTAGTTTACATGTAAGATAATGCTGCAAATTTACTATGTTTCCTAAATGATCTAAACAAATTTAATGTGCCATTTATTTATGTGGTCCATTATTGTTAGTAAAGCATGCCAACAGTGGATCACCTCACCAATAGGCTTCATTGTCTCTTCATTACATCAGTTCAGAAATACGAATAATATTTAAGTCTTTAGGGAACAAGTCAAAGTTAAAGTCTGACATCTTTTTGTGACTTAATTGCGAGTCGAGTCGAAATCTCAAACTTGAGTCACCATCTCTGACAAAAGGCCAACCTGGCTTGCTATAAGCCTCTTTCCCACTGAAATCAACGTGTTAACACGTGTTTTTTAAACATGGGTCGACCCGCTAACACTCAGCGTTTGGCTGGTGAGAGGCCTGTCCACCCGCAGCTGCATGTCTGGTGACACCATCACGCTGGGTTCACGCTGATCATGTCACCAGTGCGACAGTAATTAAGTAGCCATTAAAGAGCAACATGTAAGGAAGCCAGGGTGCAGTCAGTGTGCTTTATTGCTTCGCTCTTTTCCTGTCAAAATCTCTCTGACCAGCTCTGCGGCAAGTTTATCGAACGTAAACAGGGTTGCTTCAGCTTCCTAAATCAGAAGCGACTGGCTTGGTGGGTTGAAGTCCGTACGTTGCGTTCAATGGTGGCATATAATTCGGCGGGTCAACCCAGCTCTGGTGTTCCCACAGCATGCCCATCAGAGCGGTGGCGATTTTAATGCAGGTGGCTTGCCAAGTCGCTTGACCAGGGTAGACAAGAGTCAGTAAGCTGTTCACACTGCCACTAAAAGCAGATTGTTCCCAAGTTGAACAGTTTTTTTGGCATTGGGAAAGGGGTAATCGAGAGCTAAATCCCAGAGTAAAATGTGACCAATGTTTGTTTTATCACCATTCATGACTCCTTCTGTTTGAGAGAAATCACAGAAACTATCAAAACGGTCTGTTTAGGTGGCTAATTTGTTAAGCATCAACGCATTACATTATTAGCTTATGCCTTTGGATGCATTGTTTATGCTTATTTAGAATTGAAAACAGTTCAAAAGGCAAATCTGCAATAAATATTATTATTTTACTCTGAACTATCCTGAGCTGCCTTTTAACCAAACTACAAATCTTTTAAATTCTTACTCTTTTCTCCGGGCTGATTTCCTCTTCTCCTCATTGAGTTCATGTGCAGCGTCCCTCAACTTGACCTCTGACCCCGGAGCAGTGGCTGGGATGATGTCCAGCTGCAGCTCTTTGCTCTAAAGACACAGCAGGTTGTGGTTATAATGTGGCACACAACAGGTAGGTGGGTTATTCCACGCTGTAATGTGTTTGCCTTCTGTTGGCAGATGTTCATTAAACAAAGTTTGAACAGGAAGAGGCAGTAACAGACGATGAGTTGGGACCATCTGGTTTCTGCACACAATAAAATAAAAAGCAGCAATGAGACTACTTGAAAATAAAAAAAAATTAAATCTCCGGATTTGTTTCATTTGGAAAGTAGTCATGGTCTTATTTTACAAGAAGATTTAAAAAGTTATCTCTATGCCAGTTTTTGTATATATATATATTATTAGTATATAAATAAAACATAAAAGGGACAGGTGCTGAAAAAAAGCTGACAAACACTTACAGCCTTGTTTGAATCGGAGGAGATGCCGAGTGCCGTTTCCAGGCTGGTTCGATATTTGTCCATGCGGATAGAGAAGTCCCTGTAGCGCTTGTCCACGGAGGACACCCATTTCTTTATCTCCAGAGCGTGGGCGTGGCCCTTGTCACAAAACCCATCTGCCAGCTGGATCAACAGCTTCACCCGCTCTTTGGTTTGCTGTCAATAGGCGGACATTCGGGGAGGCGGCAGAGAGAGGTAGTGCCCACAGAGAAAAGGTAGATGAGGGAAAGAAAGAGTTTGGAATCATGTGTTGCTTGCTGGACATAATAGCTTGCTCTCTGACACACAATAACAGTGACACAGCAAAGAGGACAATAAAGGGCCCTGGAAACGGGCCTCACAGTGGAGCCAGGCTGACATATATATCAGGTAAAAATACAGAATACCTCACAATCGAAAAAAATAAGAAAGAAAGTCATTTCCACCTGGTTCTTGCCTTGCTTTGCAAATAACCAGCAACCTAAGAGGAAGACATACCTTTGCTGTGATCTGGAAGTCTTCATGCTCCTTCAGCAGCTCCTGCGTATGATGAATGCTCGACCCTGTGGAAGTGTGCGTGGACAGGTAGAACTCCCCAGTGTCATGGATCCATTCCAGGGCCTGAAGAATTGACCAATCATGAGTGAGTGCCGATACAATAGAGATTTTAGATAGCCTACATGTCTGTCTCACAGAAGCATTAAATCTTATCACACTATCTATACAAACTATATTAAAATAAACTAAAATGGATTGTAAAATAAAGAAAAAATATAACCATTAAACCCACTTTTATTTTTGCAACACTCATTTAAATACTTTTTTTCTACCTTATCACCCTTATTATAAACAGCATTTTTCAAGATTTTAAAATAACTCATATAAATTTGTTTTAAAATTGAAATAATGAACTCTGAGAATCCAAATAACAATACAGTTGGCCATATTTCTAAAATTACAGCTATTCAACAATAGGTAAGTCATTTACAACTTCTTTTATAGCGCCCTAGTTAGGGCCTTTATTTATTGCCTGTTTACTTTAAGACCAGGCCCTGGAGGTGATTGTGCCCTGGCCTGCAATGGCAGAACTGGTCCAGTCAAACAGTGAGAGCAAAAGGCCTTCAGACCCCGGGGATAAAACCTGGAAAGGTTTAGAATAGCCGTGTTCCAGAAAACAAGTGTGATGTCATTTAGGTCTTATAGGCCAAGAATTTATGCTTAAGAATGTTTGATTCTAACACCACCAGAGGGAGCTAAGTGTATAGTAGTAGACCTCAACTACACCACCTGCAAAACTATTCACAGCTATTCAACGTGAAACATGTTACAGAAAGTAACACATTTGTGATACACAAAAAATGCAATAAGATATAAATAAAAGCAAAATGAAATAAACATCGTATTTCATATACTTGCTGTAAAATGATGAAAACATGGAAAGTTTATATGGTGCACAAACTTTGCAAAAATGAAACAAAACTAGATCTCAGCTTAGTTTATAAAGCAGTAGTAAATTTCTTACAGAATAAAATCTCTCCCCAACTATTATGCTCCTCAAGGAAATGAAGAAAGGGGCTTAACTAACACAATAGCCTTTTTTTTTTTACTTTGTCAATAACTGTGAAACATAATGTGGAAATTGTTAAAAAAATATGGCTAACTTAGCACTGATCCTGATATTTTTTTACTATTTATATCTCTGTATAATGGGTCAAATTATAAGGTTAGTAATCTTATCTTTAATCTTGGATGATGTAATCTTACATCATCCAAGCCAATATACAGACACACACCTGTTTTGCACTTCGTTCAAACACCACATATTGCTGGCATTGGTCCAGCCTCCTCTTCCTCATGGTCCAGAAGTGAAGGACTCTGTTCTCTCTCTGCAGTAACTCATTCAAGATATCTGATAAAATGGGAAAAAAAGTATCTCCTCAATTCTAAAGGTTTACAGAATGTCTGCAAATTAAAGGCTTTAATTATGGTCTTAGAGAAAAGAAAAAACTGCTATAGGAAGTTCACAAGAAACAGCAATGATTACAGTGTTCGGAGTTTTGTTGTTTACATACTTTTGACCTGAGTCTCTGGAGCTTTGACATGGGACAACATGCCGGGCATGTTGACACTATTTCTGTGCAGATACTTCAAGAATACATCAGCGTTACGTCTGGCTAATGTACAAGCCTGTAAACACACAGAAAGGAGAAAATCAACACCCACCATCTCTTCTTTGAAGATCAGCTCGAAAATCCCTGAAATACACGCTCAGGCGTTTATTTATTATCTGAAGTTTTTCCTCACACCTTAAGAAATGCTTCTTTCTGCTCCAGGTGCTTGCTGACCATAGGAGTGACATGATCAGTCTCGCTGTTCGGCCCCAGTTTATCAGCACCGCCACACCAGTCCTCTTCTCGCTTGTACTCCTGTTCTAGGCTTTCCAGGACGCTGCACACCTGATCAACACAAATAGGATTTAGCTTCTAAATTAATGTTCTTTTTTATACCCCCCCAAAAATAAGTAATTTGTGCACAAACATTCGAATAGTGTAATAAAAAGTTTTCTAGATCAGATTTATCTTGTGCATCATCTGCAATAACTGATAATCAGTGTTGAACTACTGATATCCACAGAGCATCTGTAAATAAATACCTGTTCAGAGGTTTTGTAGAAGGCCACAGATGCATTAACCAGTTTGAGTCTGTCCTCCATCTTTAGCATGAGCTGCTGCCAGTGGTCAGCCACCTTCAAGTCAACAAAAAGCATCAACTGTAAAACCCACACTTTGCTTTCCCTGTTTATATATTTATAAAATGAAGCACACCTTTTCTGCACAGTCTCTGATCATATCCATGTCGTAGTGGTTTGCCTGGAGAAGAGCTTCGGCCTTCTGCTGAACTTGCAATGCACTCTGATGGGTTTTCTGCGTGAGCAGTGAGATAAAATCAATCATTTTAAATAGCATATTAAAGACAGTCTTGAGTCTCTTTCATGCTGATGCTATAAGTCTTTTTTTGGGCTGAAAATATTTAGATGGAGGCTAACAAGAACTAAAAACTGATTTTCAGGTTAATCAGCCTTGATGACTTTTTTAAAACAGGAACTCAAAAATCTTACATTTTTCCAATAAGAAATGATTCATACCTAGATGTAAACAACATTGCTTGGTGTGTTAGAGTGGGTGTTGGAAAGATAACATTTTACACAAGCCCTATCTGTACCATTAGTTACTTCAATGGCCCTATTGGTGAGTTTGTTCCGACTTTACCTTTTTTTAGAGCACTCAGTGAAATACTTTCAAAATCTAAATTTCAGGCCAATAGTGTTATTGGAGTCCAGGACAAGACCTTTATACTTTTGTAACATTAAAAAAATAGAGATATTTTGATGGCAAAAATTAATGTTGATGTAATAACAAGAAACACCAACTTGCCCAAATATATTAAGAAAAATAACAAAAATGGTTCTATAAGAAATTTATGAAAAACACTTTGAGAGTGAAAGAAACCATTATTTTTTTTTTTGGTACAACATAACCATAGAGGCATTAACGCTTATATTGGCACTATGTTTTTGGTTGATAAACCTAAACATAATTGTTAACTGGGCTTATTAACTTTTCAATTAACTTTTTAAGTTTTTTCTTGACTTGTTAACTTTTTTTCGACTTAATTTACAGTAGGTTCTATATCATTCAAGGGCTCATCTAATTGGTCAAAGGCCAAAATAAGATGTACAGCCATGTATCAGTGTCTTTGCTGAATGGCTGGATATAGATCTTGTGCTTCTAGACCTCACTTAAAGATCAGGGGACTCATTTGTAAGGGGTATGCAACTAATCAAAAACGGTAACTTGCCCTTTAAAGGGTTAATCCTGTTACTTCCAATTATGAACAGAACCAAAGAATCCTTGTGAAGGAGAGGAGAACTTTCCTCAAGAAAAACAAAATATGTCTGGCTACCTTCTAGGTGTTAAGTGGAAGGTTACTACAAGTTCTTGTTTTTCTTTTTCTGTTTTAGTGCATATGTTGTATTTATAAAAAGGCAGGTCAGGGACAGATGTTTGTTATAATGAGCAAACAATGCAGCCAACGAAACAATGCAGCCAACATAATCCATGGCAAAGGAGAGATGAAAATAAAGGCAAAATAAAGGTTATGTGTAATGATACAACAGAAATTTCTATTTCATATGGGAAACTCTATACGAGTAGGAGAAGAAGGAGAATATATGACAGCAAAAGTTGAAGAATAAAGTCTAAAGGCAGTGGAGAAGCAGAAGAAGGTAAGATGTTAACATCTTAAGAAAATGTAAGATATATTTTTTTTTTCTTAGTAATCTGAAAAAGGAAGAAATATGTATATGGTTTCAATCATATATATACATATATATAGAAACTTTACCTCAATTGCATGTTGAAATTGTTCATGCTCCTTCTGCAGCTGTTCAGCCTCTTGTAGTGAACTTGCTGTGATGAGACCAGCATTCAGCATCGACTCTCCATTACGGATCCAACCTAAAACCTGCAGAACATACAGAAAGTATTTATTCACGTTTTAGTCCATATCTGGATCATGTTAAATGATTGACTTACCATTTACTCTTTAAAATGTATTATTTAACAGGTTTATGATTCTTTCATATTTTTGCTTTAGGTACTGTATATTTCCAAACTGTCATCCCATCCTTTTATCTTCTCTAATTCATTCATGTCACACCTTAGTTCTTCACATGACCCGTGCCCCAAAAACAACAATTCCCCACGTGTTGTCGAGGCATTGGGCCCCACAAGGAGCAGTCGGCCCCCACAACGTGCCATTTTCCCTGAAAATGGGCCTCAAATTGTGTTAAAAACGAGGGCACCCACACACACACAGACAAACACCTCACATGCATGAAGCCAGCAGCTCCACATATCTTTTCCCCTCATAGTTATGCTGGCCTAGTTCTAGCCGCAGGGCAGACTCACAAAGAATCTTCCCTCCCTCTCTGACTCAGCAGGCACACTTGCTGTGTGGGTGATGGCCAGAACTGTAGCTGACGCAGAACTATAAAAGTGATGATGCAACCCTGGCTCCTGTTTAAGACTCCTAGGACATTTTTTTCCATTATGCCTGTGATGCCCTCAGGTGGCATAAAATCTATTAAATGTAGTTTTCCCATCATAGAGTCAATCCACTCCAATCTTTTCCCTGCCGCCTAAAGCCAATCTGATGCCCTCGCATTAACCTTTCATTATTCCATGTTCTGGCCACAGCTCTGATTTATTTAAGATGCACTCTTTTTAAACTACACACAGACTAACAGGTAAGGTACCACTGGAACAGCAAATTACAAACAATAAAAATTCTTTCAAATACAGATAACTACATAAAAATAATTAGAGATGATTTCTGGAATCGGCTGTTGACCAGGAGATGACGTTCATCTATTTTGAAAGGTGGCTGATCAATTGGAAAATCAAATATAAAATATTTTTTTACTAATCAATACAGGCAACATACTTTATACCATTTCTTCCACCAAGTATCCCTAAAATAAAAACAATCTGCATTTTATTTACTATTACTGAGAAAAGTGGCCTGAATGCATCTATGTTCAGTATTAGTGAGGTGCAGTAATTCAAATCCTCTCTTCTTGACAAAGCATTTCTATGTTTAGCTTAGGCTGTGAGAGAGCAATATTTTTAATCAGTAACAGGAAGGCTAAAGGGTGTACAGCATCCTTTTGAACTGCTAACATCTGTAAGTCAGCAGACTTGTAGAAATCTCAGAGTTAAAATACGGATAGATATCAATAATAATACCTATGAACTGAGGTTTTATAAATGCTAGCTGTGCTAATAGATAACATAAGACACTAAAATTAGTATAAAAAGTGAACCTCTCTTTATGTTTTAAAAATTAGTAGAAACTAGGCCGCTCTCCTATAAATGAAATGCATTGTTTATATTCTTCCAATACAAGCAAATAAAAAAGAACACATCAATAAAGTATTAATAATAATGATGATAAAGTATAAATTGTTGTTTCATATAGTGACTTATAGGAGATCTGTATTTCTAGTATTAGCACATGAGAAAATAATAACCAGTCATTCGCTCATCATTTCAGCCCAAAGCCTAAAATGAACAGGATCGAAAAAGATATGCAGCAAAACATACATGCATTTAGAGTTAGAAGTCTTATGCAGACTAATGAATATCTAATACATCCCTCTCACATGTAATATTACATTTGTATCATTCTCTCAGATAACTCCAAATGCTGCAGTGTGTTTTGATTTTTGTCTTATATTTATGTTGTTTTCCTCTTGCTTCACTTTTAATTCTGACACATTTAATTCAGTTTTCACAAGACGTGAACTATGCTGTTATTTGACTGCATCAATACGATAAGAGCTTGTATAAAAAACGTTTCTCCATTATCATTTATTTTGCTTTGAAATATCAGCCAACAAAAATGCTCCAAATGAGTGTTGATTTGTTATTGCCCACAAAAACTGAATGATAACAGACAGAGAATAACTACACTGAAACAATAATCCCTTTTTACTATTTTTGATGCCAGATGCATTTTCTGGATAAGTATAATAACAGACATGAGAATTGACACCTTTGTTTTCTTTTCTTTTAGGCAATACAAGAAACGGGGAATCAAATAGTGCTGCACTAAAAATTTACAGCTCCAGGTCTCTATTGGGATTAAAAAGATTAAGGGTTAAAGCTAAATATGAGAAAAATACACCTATGAAATCACATAGAGCAATAATTGAATGTAACTAAAATTAATTAATAGAAAGCTTATTTCAGAAAATGCTCTCTGAGATTAATTCTTACAGGAGAATTAAAACGTATGTCAGCACCTTCTATACCCTTACAAATCTGTATCAGTCAGATAAGGTTATTTATTAATGTTTATGAGTTGTTAGTACTTCTCAAACCTTTCTGGTGTAAGAATGATTTCACATAGATATAGTTTTCATGTCACTAAAAAACTGCTTCTTTCTCCCTCCCTTCCTATAGGTGGATTACTTCACATTTTGCATTAATGTTAACACAAACTGTTCATCAAACAACATACATTAACTATGCCTAACCCCACTGATGGTGCAATTATGAGATGCTGCCCAACTAGATTCAGTTTTATCTCTACAGTGGCAATAAAGCTGCTTCTTCTTCTTGACAAGTTATTATAATCTTATTAAAAGTGAGTGAATGTCACTTTATTTTATTTTATATGACGTAGAATTCTAAAATAGCCCTGGTAATCTACATGTAGAGAAATCACTGCAGAAAAGACGAGATCAAGCTAACAGTAAGTAAAGACATTTCCTTCTGCAATCTGTCAGTATTTAGAAACCATTCCTGTTGCTACTTGCATATTTTTGTTAGCAGGTGTCATTTTAACTAAAGGCCTATAAAAAGATTTCTAATTAGTGAAGCTTTACTCATAATGTTTGTAAAACCTAACAAAATCCTTGCAGAAAAGACTTACAGAAGGTTGTGGCAACAGCTGTATTTCTAAACCCTTCTAATAATCCAATGAGTGCCACTAAAGTAAAAACAAGGCAGTTAGAAAAAATACCCCAATACATAATTTCATGATAAACCTGCCAAGGCCTGATTCCCCTCGAAACATTTTGACAGATTATCAACAAACATAACCAAAGAGCCAAGTGGCGCTCAAAGAGAACCTCTGAAACACCAGGAAAAAGCAAAGTGTAGTACTCAAACATCATGTCCTCCGAACAAAAACCTGCAAGACTCCACTATGCAAGGATTGGGATGTTTATATTTGGTTAAAGTTTGAAGTTGAAAATTTGAGCAAGCAAGAAAAACACTAGAGTCAGCAGTCTGTCTAGTTCTTTGGATGTCAATAAACACCATACATTTGACAGAAGAACAGTTCTGCACATCAAACCAATAACAACATGCAAAAAAGGGACATTTCCATGTTTGAACATTTCTTACAACATATTGTAAAGGGAGACTTCATATATCTGTTGGAAGGATGAATGGAGAAATGTAGTGGGAATATTTTGACTGAACATTTATAAGTAGGATGATACTCCTGAAAGCAAAGGCAGGTAAATTCAATTGCTCTGATATCAAAAGAGGAACATGAGCAAAAATGAGTCATCTGTCTTATACCCAGTCAATTTTTTATGAAAATAACCAATGATTAGTTCATAGAAAGAACCTATATTACTGCAAAGATCTAAAAAGTTTGAATGGAAGAATGGGTCAAAATAACACCTAAGCAACCAATGAGGTAATTTCCCCATATAGAGGAGACCCTAATATATTATTTAAAGTATTTACTGACTTTATCTGAAGATGATGTCGAATTAGTCATGTATTGGCAGTCTTACAGGCAGAACCTTTTAAGACACACCAACACATTATGTTGCAACTCCAGCATGTTCTAACTAAACATTGTTAGAAAGACTTTCCAGTAATCATCCTCACCTCAGTCTGAGAACAAAACATGTGTTGTTTTAGTTTTATTTAACAACCATGACAATAAAAGTCATGTCCCGATGTCAACATCCTCATATGTACATTCCTGTGGTCTGTTCTGGCCTGTTTACATGCTCTATTATCCCCTTTTACTAATACAATCTCCTGTTTTCATTCGCACAAAGCCAGTACCTGTTTGACTTCAGCTTGCAGATGTCTTAACTGGACGCACTGCTCCAAGTGCCTTCTGTGCTGCTCTGCAGCCAGGTCCAGCTCCTGCTGCTTCTCGTGAAGAAACTCTAACAGGTCCTGAACCCTTGTTGCCATGTCCACATCTCTGTCGCATAGCAGCTCCACACCTAGAAAAACAAAACTCTTAATCTTTTTGTTTAACAAAATGAAATATTCCCTAAAAATATGCATTTGTACTTAAAGTGATAGTAGTCCATGAATGCTGCCATTTGCAATCGATTCCTTCCATTACCTGAAAGTTAACTGAAACTACAATTTTTAATCCCTGTTTCCTCGAAGAAATAAAAATGAGACCTGTGGACCTGTTTTAAGGGGGAAGTTTGCTCATACTAGTGAAAGCGCATTAATTTTGCACAATCTTAGTAATATGGATGGTTTAATATAAGAAAATCATAAAAATGGGGAAAGACTGTGCAAATTGTCCCGTCCAGGATGATCTGAGAAAGTCTACATTTTAATTGTAAGAAACGAAAACCAAACAATACTTTCATGATGCTAGATTACTAAAAGGAAGCATGCACTAACTTCTTTTATTTGAAAAAAAAACAAAAAAAAACACAGTTACCAAAGACATAAATCATTGATTCGACTGAAGGAGAACAATCTAAACTGGAAGTAATAAACTGAAGCAATGGGGGCTCAAACATCATACTAAAATCCTTTTTCCCCATAATACTATGAGCTAAACAGGCCAATATGGGGATCCTGAATAGTTTTGAATATATTACAGCTGAAGATCCAGTTTCCATGAAGGAAATATATATTTTTAGCAAGAAAACAATGTCAAGCATGTAATTAATCATTTCAGTTTTCTGACCACAAATAATTTAAATGAGGACACGCTAACAAGACTTTTATTGTCTGCATCCACATCAATTTTGTGAAGAAAGCAGTACATTGATAAAAACTCATGCATTTTGCTTCAATTAATGTGTATCAGATTTAACAGTGATTGTATCGGTAAGGTAAGGTTGCATTTAACAACACATCACCTCTAAATAAGACTGATTTTTACTGTTTTAGTGTTTTCTGCACTAACTTATATTGGTAGCTTGGCTGTCTTGAGGGCTGGTTATACTCCTGCAGCAGTGTGTCGCAGTGAGCCTGTTCCAGATATTTTTTATTTATGCCCAATATTGAAGCGTGGTCTGCACTATGTTATATTCCACGCCACAATGCAAGAGGGACAATCACGAACTAGCTGTGGGTCTAGATACGGCCGAGGCGGCGAGGAAGTAGGCGCAAGTTTGTGCAACAATGGAGGGACTTGGAGGGACATCGTTTTCCACAATGGCGTTCATACTGTACAAACAAAACAAGCCGGTAAGGTACCAAACAGGAAATACGCATAGGGCCGGATCTATCAAAGGTTTGCGTGTATAAAAACGTGAGCTATTTCACTGCGCACGCTAAAAAATGTACAAACTGATCTATCAACAGCGTGCTAAAAGGATTTGGTCTTTAAAACGTGCTAAATAGCGCCTCTTATCCATTTAGTACTTTTTCTGCAATGATTATGCAATATGGGGCGTTTACACGCAAAAGTGCGTCTTGTGGGAGGAGAACATGTAAATATATTAATTTAGCACTCGCAAAGTGATTTATTAAACCTGAAAGCAATTTTGCTAACGGTATCTGACTCTATATTTAACACGTTTCAAAAGAAGGTGCAAATGGTCTGTATGCGTAATTGCGCACACATGGCAGCGGTTATTGTCGCAAGAAGGAGACATCGAAATGAAGCAAGGAGACGCAGAGAGCCCATTTTTTCACTCCGTGTGAATATTTTTGGAATGAACGAGGAAACGATCATCAAAACATATCGTTTATCCAGCATTGCCATTTTGGAGCTGTTGGGGGAACTCCGAATGGATTTGGAGCCAGCCACAAGGAGGACCCACGCAATACCAGATATCACAAAACTCCTTGCAACATTGCACTTTTTTGCATCTGGGATTTCCCAATCTCGTTTTTCAGAAGTGCTGTCCGACGTTCTAAATGCCATGTCGCCCTGACGCCCTAACGGAGAACCCCGACCACCCCTTGCGCCTGTGGAGCAACATGCCAATGCTGCGGGGATACGTAAGCGCAGTCATCTTATCCACAGTCACTTCTTGTGAGCCATTTGGTATGTGCATTTTTCTACAGGCCAATACAAAACACCTGTTTTTGTTTTTGTTTTTTCTTTTTACTGCAGTGAAGTAGAAATTCAGCCACATACCACCTTAGGGAATAAAGGTTGCCAAAGTATATATATATATATTTTTTTTTTTTTGGAGGGGGTGGGGGTGTCACTGTAAGATTTAAATTTTTTGATGCACTAGTTTGCACAAACTACAAACTACTTTGCCGCAAACCACAAAACGCGCAAAACCATCATTTAAATAGGGCGTCTCCAACAGTTTTGCACCTGCCACCAGTTACGCAATCACTCTTGTTAAATCACCTGCAAACCATGGTTCAGTCCCAAAATTCCAGTTTGCGAGCGCAAATTACTGCACGCAAAATTGGATCTTGATAAATCCGGCCCATAGTGTAGAGCGGATGTAGATTTGACAAATCAGAGGCCTCCTGTTTGTGGCACTGTCTGAGGTCACCTACAATTTTGGAGAGGTGCAGCAGAGTGTCTGCAGCAGGGGTGGGGTGATATTTGCATTCACTGCCACACACATGCAGACGACCTGGTTTCTGAGTATAAATCAGCATTGATTCCTCTTTTATTAGCACTAGTCCTGTTGCAGTGAACGGGGATAACTCTTACATACAGGAAGGACTCATCAGATTCACCAGACCATATGTGACTGACAAAACCAGAGCCGGTATATGATATTTATCTGTAAGGCTAACTATGTTTGATGTAAAAAAGATTTAAACCTTTGGTTCACGCCAAGAACAAAAATGTGGTGTTTTATAGAAACATTAAGGCTGCATCTATGGTGGTGTCCTAGGATATTTTATTTAGTTTGTATGTTTTGAAGTTTTTCTCTCACCAGATGCTTGGACTTCTGTAACATACTGCAGCAACTCTTGCCCCTGGTGAATGACGTCAAAGGTGAGGTTGTTCATGGTAAGAGCTTTATCTGCATGGTGCTGAAGCCTCTGCTCAGCCAGGGTCAGATCCTCGGTGTCAAAGTCATTCATCTGCTTAGACAGCTCCTCATTCCATGACTCCAGGTCTGAGATGATCTGAGAGGCAAAAGATGGTTGAGATAAAAGGTGAACTGATCAGTTTAAATAGGCGTTCAATAAGAGAACAACTTTAAGTAAGATATTCAGACAAAAGCAACACTCTTCAGATACATTGATACATTAAGGTCAACTTCTGAAAATGTCAGACTTTTTACAATGTTGAAACTGAGTTGAAACAAGGTAAACACCTTTGCTGGCTGCCATAGCAACAAACAGCAACAACATATGAAGATGGCGGTGATCTGCTGGCAGAGCAGATGTACTGAGACATCAGTATGTGTCACTGACTGCCCACGCTGACTGAATCACCATACTAGGGGCACCTTTATCCTGGTACTCTTCAGCTCTGACTATTTCAGTGCTTTTTTAAAACAATATAATATTATGAACAATTGTTCACTTTTGCCACAATTGTGAAATAAATAAGTGAAACCTCACATAGAGATAGATCTGGGCTTTTTTTTTTTGTCAGATTTGGATTTATTTCCCAGAGGACAACCATTTAGCTCACATATGATTCATGAAGAACAAAAGCTACTTTCAGAATTTTTGAAGCAACAGAACTAAAAGTAGGGTTTGATCCAAAGCTATCCTCTAATTAACTGTTATAAAGACTTAAACAACTAGAATTAATCTGTCTAAATATAATGAACAAACTAAAAACAGTATGCACTGTAAGTTTATGAATAAAGTAGAATAATTCATGGTATTATTCAGTCTGTTTGCATAAATGAAACTGAGAAGTTATGGGAGCTGCCATGCCTGGTTAGGAAACAATAATCATATTTTTAGAGGGTCACCTGATTAAAACAATAAAAAAAGACAGAGGAAGGATAATGATGTATTTGACATGAAGCAAGAATCGGGTTTAGTGGCTTATTCACAATGTAGGGAACTCAAAATGGATTTCCAAGCAAGGCTACAAGGTGAAAACATGCAGAAAAGTAGCAATTGTACCTGTGAAATAAAATATTCAATAAGTAAATAGAGACATTGTTCTCCTAACAAATAGAATGTGAGTAATATTTTAAGACTAAAACAATGCATATCAACAAATACAAACATTTTTATCTTGTAACTCTTTTGTGATCTTAATATAAAAAGCCTACCGGTAGTAATTTTTACCCTTGCTTTAGGACTGATAAAAAACATAATTCTTATTTAAGTCAATCACTCATAGTAAACTTGAACAAACCTGCATTTTATTTTTATACAAGAAAAAAAATTATGTAAAAAATCCCCCCCAAAAAACAACAAAATATATATATAGAATTTTTTCTATAAAAATATAGAAAATATTATATTATTTTATATATATATATATATATATATATATATATATATATATATATATATATATATATATATATATATATATATATATATATTCTTTTTTTTTTAGGGGTTGTTTTTTTTTTATATTTTTCCTTGTATGAATAAAATAAAATGTCAGTATAATGTCAGTTTAAAAGTCTGCTAGGCCAATGAACAACCATCGTTTCCTTCAATTTTTTTCTAGAAAGCTCAAATGGGCCCCAAAACAAAGAGAAACAAAAGGTATCAGGACATCACAAAAGACTATTTTTTATATACTTATACATGGCTTATACATAGCCACAGATGTGCAAAAAAACCTTTCTATAAAGTAAATCAAAAACTGTTTTTTTTCTAGATAAAAAGTCAACTTGCTTTGTTTTCTTTTTTTCCACACAAGATACTAGTAACAATCCATTAAATAGTCACTATTACAAATCATCTAATTACAACAATAAGACAATAATAAGTTAACATAGATGTTTAACAACTTACCAAGCCCTGACTAGAACTTTGCCTTCCTCTCCTCTTACAGTTGAGTAAAATGCCTTCTGAGAATAAAAATACCATTTCCTTCATTTATCGGAGACCACTAACCAGTTGGGGAGATACTGTTAGGATTCCAGTCGTCTATGTTTTACTGTTAGGTGTGCATTGCAGCAGAGCCATCTCCTTTGCACGAAAAGAGCCACAGTAATAAACCCGGCTATGTCTCACCTATTCCTTCTTCTTACCTTACCTTAACTTAGACTCACACCTCCAGTCCTGCCAGGAGGAGGTATCACATTGTAAATTTGCACAGGTGTGTGAGTGAGCGGGAAACAGAACATAAATCTGTCCTCCGCCCATCTCCATGCTCAAGCTCTGTGTCATATTAATCCTGTGTCTGTGTGCGTAATTCTGGGCGTGAATCGGTGTTTAGCATGTGCGATTAACAGATTCACTGCCTTTCCCTGACCAGGCATGCAGAGTTAATCTGGATTTTTGGAAAACACAGACCGACACCAAAGAACCTTTTCCACAGAAGTTTTTCACATTCTCTCCTTTTACAAATACTAACTCCAGTTTCGTTTTCTGGTTTCTTATGTGATACACCAACAGTGGTGCATTAGTGAACAATGAAATACGAATTATACAAGGCTTCCAAGAATATCTAAATATAATCCGGAAGATGTGATGATGATGTGTTTTCAGAACATCTGAGATTGCAGTTAAAGCTGGTCGGTTTGAAGCAAAGAAATGATCGCGTTTTATTTAAACATTATAAATTGGTCTTGAAACCATTTTATTAAACCATCTAAATTATTCTGGCTTCAGGTCGGCGCATTAAAGGAAGGCAACACCCCAAATTCTGTCAAAACTCTGCTGGATAAAATAGCCAACACATTGACTGGTAAGTAAAATAGTTATTAGTTGCCGACCAGGTTATAATAAGGGATGCACTGATCCACTTTTTTCACCTCCGATACGATATATTTGAAGTTTAATGTCGGCCGATAGCAATCCGATACCGATACCAAAAACAGCACTGAACTATTACCTAAAAAATTGTGTAAAAAAAAAACAAAAACTGGGATCATTCTTCTGTGCATATGATTTGACTTCCCTTTTCTTAAAAAAATAGCAAACAACCCAAATATTTAACATTTATTTAACAACTGTACACAAAATCTTAAACCAAAAGTTCTCTGACTTGGTCATCGTGTAAAAAAAAGTGTCACAAGTTCAGTCAGTGCAAATTGGAATCTAAAATCCAATGTAAAATTCAATACAATAAAATAAATTATGGAAGAGCTAAAATTGAGAAAATAAAACAGCTTCAACGTCTTGATTTCTAGACAGTCAAAATAAAACAGCCATCAGCTCTTTACAATGTTTAGTGCAAATGGAATTTAAACATCCATTATAAAAGCATCTGAATAAACCAAAAGATTCTCCTGCTTGGTCAAGTTGCCGGTGTTATAGTTTGAAGATTTAACATAGCATAGAGTTAAAATTAATAGATCGGCCCTTATATCTAGTCAATTGTCACTGATACAATCTAGTTTTTTTTCTTTATATCTGGACCGATACCGATAAAAATGTCGGATCGGTGCATCCCTAGTTATATTATCATTAAACACTTAAATGAAGGATAATAACACCTCATAAATGTTTTACTGAATTATATTGAACAGACAGACAGACAGAAAATGCATCATAAAACTTTAAAGCTTTAAATCATTGATTCCTTTTACAAGTTTTTGCTGTTTACAAGCTATTTAAATGTTTTATTTTATTTTTTAAACATGTTTTTTTACTTATATTCTGTATTTCTAGATTAATTTATAGGTGAATAAAAAAAGATCCCTAGACTATTAACCCCTATAATAACTGATCGCTGCAGCCTTAACAATAACTAAGTAATATCTAAATAAACATCGGTTGCTTTGGATTTTACTCTGGGATGTTAGATTCCTTGGGAATAAAAATGCACGCCCTGACCAGTCAGATGTTATTTATAAAAAAATTCAGTAACATTGGTTTTTAAAAACTCCTAATATTATATATTATGAAAATGTTCAAGTGGTACTAAGAATTGTGCCAGCTACTGTAACTTAAAGCATGAATATATAGACTAATCTTTTATATTTTCTCAAAGGGCCCAAAACCCCAATCTGTAATAGTGCTCTAGGCATTTAGAGTCTCTTAAAAAATATCAGATTTGATGGCAAACATGACAACAAAGAAAACACAAAGTTCAAATAAAACTGTCATCTTGTTTAAGCACCAGCTGGGAAAAGCATTCAGTGTCACAGTGGGGTGCTCAGCAATAAGCAGATCCAGCATAGCAGGCTGCTGTTAAAAAAAAAAAAAAAAGTGCATGAATGAATGAATAAGTGGAGGTGATGCATCAAGTGGAACTAAATACCTTTCAAACCAGCAAATGCGAGAGCTTTGTTGGCATTTCAGTACAGCTTTACACCAGCAGGGGTCCTCGCTACAAGACTAAACCCCCCTTTTATTATGAAATGGCTCATAAGCAGAAAATCACTTTGATTTTCTGTTATGCACCTTTCCGTATAAAGATGATCTTTATACACTGCTTCTCTGTCAACTCCTCCATATCGACAGTTGCACTTCGTGCTTTGATAAATATTTAAAGCAAAATTAATTCAGAAGACATAAAGGTTGCATTTTTTTTTCCAACCACTCACGTCTATGGCGTCCCTCTCAAAGATACGGAGCTGCAGGAAGAGTTCCAGTTTGATCTTCCTTTCCTGGAACAACTCCTCCATCTGACCCTGAGCCTCATCCAGCTGCTGTAAGACACTCTCAATGTGCGCCATGGAGCTGTTATGAGGGGTCTTGTTACTTGAAATCGCTGAGTCTCTGTAAACACAGCAGAAATACAGTTTAAAGGGACAACAGATAAAAACAGCTCAAATTGCTTAAGAAACTGCCTTCAAATTAATTTCGTCATTTTCTGCAGCAGGAATATTTTATGGAATATCACCAACTTTGTGTTTATATCTTTATTCAGGGGTGCTTTTAAATGTGGCTTGCCCCGCTGAGTGATAATGATTACAGTTTGCACTCAGTGATATTGCTCACCTGAGCTGCTGTATGAGGTCCTCTCCCTCCTTGATGACATTGACCGTCGCCTGCAGGGTGGTCTGCTGCTGCTGGCCAAATCTCTTGATCAGGTCCTGCACTGCTTCCACTGACTCAGCGTACACGTCATCCAGCAGTTCTTTTTGAAGCTCCTCCAACCAAGTCCAGAGCTAAAATAAATAGGCAAATAAAGGTTTAATATATTTTTAAAAATCCAGAAGTAACTAAGAAGTTCTTCATTAGGAGCAGATTTAAGAAGCAGTGCTTTAAAATTTAAAAAAGCTATGGCTTTAAAGCCATAAATGATCCATTCCATTACTCCTGAGGTTTAATGTGAGCTTTAACCCCCATCCATTGCTGAAGGCATTAGAGATTGTTCACAAATATTCAGATCCTGCTGATGGGAGCTTACATAATGCTCAATTTATCCACATAAACCACAGATTTTTCTCTCATATTGTTTTTGCTGTAAACAATGTATCTGACATTATCCACCTACACCAAAGATAAGTGAACAGGTCATACATTTAATTCAACAATATGTTGGACTGAAGGCTGACAGCCAGGATCTAAAGCGTATTCTGGAATGAACAGCAGTGACTTTAAGTCCTCTGTTTAAAAATATGCATTTTAGTTTGGGGGGAAAATAGCAGTGATTAAGACAAAATCTGTTGTGCAACAAAATTTCCTTTAGGAAGAACAAAATAAATAACCATTTAAGTCTTTATGCTGAAGTTACAACTATAACATTTTCTTTATGTATGTATGCAGTTAGATTGTTTTTATTCACAATAGATTATTTGTTGCAGATTTATTGTGCAGAATATTCTGGCTCTATGAGCTTTTCACGCCTGAACTGTTATTGAAAAAATAAATGCAAAAACTCTACTTCAATTATAAGGCATCTGCATCATATTTATGTTTGTTTTTGCCTTAAAAAAGTCTAAATAAGATGGTGATTATCAAGCAATGGCATAAAAAAAAACATTGCAATAGACCATCTTCCCATAGTTTTATCCTTATTTTGCTAGTTTTATTTTGTTTAGTTTCATTTCAACAGGAAAATAAAATGAGTATGGCCCAAAACATTTATGTCTTTCAAAAAAAAAAAAGGTACTTTAGTGGTTTAAATGGGTCCAAGAAGCAGGGAAAGAAAAGCAGAAATACCTCTTTGACATGTGTGTGAAAAGCAACAGACATATCCAGCAGGACTTTGCGCTGCTCCACACGTCGTACAAAGTCCTGGATGCGATCTTCTAGCTGGTGGGCAGCCTGGTAAATTTCCTCTGGGTCACATTCTCCAGTCTGGGCCAACTGCTCTGCGGCCTCCAGCAGTTTGTCAGCATTAGTGTAGGTGTTCTGAAATTAAACAGCATTGCATTTAACAAATCATAACACCTGCATTATATTCTGACAAATAAATCACTTGGATTGTAAAATGATTCTCTAACTATTTTTTAATGCATACACATATGGAAAATCTTAGAATATAGAAAAAGTTGCAATAACGTAGCCATTAAATTAAGCACATTGGTTTAGTGGAGATAATTAAAAGCAATCAAAAATAATGTAGTAAATAATTGTGTTTTTATTTATGTTTATGTGCAATTTAAAACTAAATTCAACAGCATCATTTTTTACTTATTTACCCTTCAACAAACTTTTTGGACATGACCTGGAACGTTATCTGCTCAGACAGGACATAACACATTATGCAACAATATCAACAACAACAACAACAAAAAATAAATAAATAAATAAAAAAAAAGCTTCTGCCTTGCTTCTTTACCACTGAAAACAAAAACCTCAAAGACTCACCTGTGCAACCTCTTCAAAGTCTTCATGTCTCTTCTGCAGAGCTCTGGCTCTGTGCAGAGACTTTCCAACACCAGTATGTTTACTAAGGAAGGCCTCACCATGGTTTTCTATCCAGTCCAACACCTTGAAACAAATAAATCCATCATACCACACATTTCAATGACTGCCCACATTATTTTGAAATTGCAGTGCATAATATCAGTCAGCAGGGGGTGCAACGAAATTTGATGACTTCATGTAGATGAAATACCAGGCAGACAATTTATGGATGTAATATTACTCAGCTTGCAGAATCACATCCCAATCATCTCAGTTTTCATCTCATTCTTCCAATTTGAACATGTCACTAGAGAACAATTAACAGCAAATCCAAAGCAAAGTGTAAACATTTCCATGATGGGAGTAATAAGCTAAGAATCTATCCATCTAATAAACTTATTATCAGTCAAACTGATGGACAGGCGCTGTCAGCCTCTACCAGGGGTAATGAAAGGATTTCAAGGTCTCTGAGAGAATGTTTTCAAGGGAACGTTTTCAAAACCAAATGCTCCGACACTATGTGACAGAAAATTGCATCACCATGGAAACCACTACCAAGAGAAAAGGGTGATGAAAGACCTGATGGAAGGAAGGAGAGGCAGAAAGACTGACAATAAAGAGGGAAAGACTGAGAAACCCGGATGGAAAGAAAAAACGGGGAGAGAAGGGCAGATGCCTAAAGGGTGGAGATGGAGAGACAACAGCAGACCAAATCAGGAGGTCTGAAAGAAGGACCAGGCTGAAAGAAAAACTGACTTATTTATTTCAAAAGGGGAAGGGAAGGCAAGAGAGGTAAATGGACGCTTTAAAAAACTAATGATATATTTAACAATTGCATCAAAAGGTTTTTGCAAACTCTGCAACATTGAGCTGAATTTCTCTTCTCTAAAAGAGAAAACAAATATGCTCTTCTAGCTGCAGGAGGCAAAGGGGAAACATTAGACATGTTTGCATTCCTCCTTACTTGCTGCACATCCTGCTGAAAGACACAGAGCTGCAGGCGCTGGTGCAGACGGACTTTGCGATGCTGCCAGATGTTTTCTAGCTGCCTCTGGTGATGCAGCACCTCGTGGATGATGTCCAGGACGTGGTGCACGGCCTTCGAGTAGTTCGCTGATGACATCAGCGAATCTGCACTTCCTGGGGTCAAAGGTCGCTGCAGCTTGTCCAGCAAAGCCTTGCCGTCCTGGCTCACCTGGATAAATTGAAGTTTGGTTTCATATTGTAAAACATCTGCAGGGTTCACAGTTGAAGAAAACTTGTTTTTGGGGGAGGTTTTACTCTTCCTGGTGACAAAGTGATATTCCACTTATGCTGAAAATAGATATCTCGTCACCATGCTCATTTTGCTACAGTGTTTAAGGTGGCTCCCAGTACTAACATAAAAATAAATGACTGACCAGTTAAAAAGTTTACATGAGGAGCATGAATGTGAGAAAATTTGAATCATTTCCTCCTAACTTTGCATACATAAGTCATCGTAATCCTCCCTGTTTTGCATACAAGTTTGTTTGTGTTTTTGTGCTAGCTTGTTTGATGTGCACTGACCTCTGAGTATGCCGTTGTGATGTGTTCATACAGCCCTTGGTGATGGTGGATCGTATCTTCTAGATCCTGGAGCTCAGATGGCAGCTCTCCTTCACCGCAAGCTTTACACCATGGCTCCACTTTGCTCATGTACTGGGTGGAAAATAATCATCATCAACATGTCAAACACAAGCCACTACTTACATTTGCAAGTTTTTACTGCTTAGAAAGAAAAAAAACAAATCAAAAAGTGGCTTTAAAACAGAGAGATTCATAACAGAGGCAAAAATTGAAAAGACTCAATAGATGTATTTTCGAGAAATACAGTACTGACTCATGATCAGCAACTGTAGAAAGTGAGTATAAATGAATATAAGAATATTTACTTTTTATGTTATTCATTTTTAGTCTAATACCATAACAACATTGGAGCTCCACACTGCAAAAACAATCTTTTTACTCTTAAAATAATTAGATAATATGCACTTGAAATAAGACAATGCAATACTTTTAATTTATTTTAAATGTAAATTGTCTTGTTTCATTGGCAAAGTGTCTCACTCACCTCCTCAGTTCAAGAAAAAAATGCACTTAAGAGAAAATGACTTATTAAGATTTACATATTTTTGCAATTGTTAGGCATCAAAAATTTTACACAAGAAAGAAAACCAGCAAATATTGGATGTCAAAAATCTAATCTATTTTACTGTAAATATAAGTAAAACAAAGACAATTGGTATAAATGCTTTTTAAATGTTTTAAGGTAACTTGAACTTGATATTTTAGGTGTGTGTTTTTTTCCTAAAGTACTTCTTTAACGATCTTCAAAGATCTTAAAGTCATTGCAAATGTTTTTAGTCTTTTATTCCCCACAGTAAGTCTCATTATAGCCTCAGACATCTGTATGTATGTCTTCAGAAGTTGCCTGATATGTAACTATCTCAGAATAAAGCCTCTAAAAGCATTTTTTTCCTGTGATCTAAAATACCACTTATGTCAAACTAAAGGCTGTGACCTGCCACAGCAATTTATTCTGGCCTTAAGGCCGGGAAAAGGCAAAGTCATGTCATAAAATAGAAGTGCATGTTTTTGATATAGCCTACAAAGTGGTGAATTCTACAAAATAAATAGGAGAAAAGTTAAAACACCAGAAAAGTGGCCTCTTTGCAAAAAAAAAAGATGAAATTTTCAAAGTTTTTACATGTCCTATTCAACGGTTCTAAAGCAGCTACAACCTGCCCTTTCTAAAGACTTGATAATATCAAAACTGAGTGTGACAAGGGTCTTAAATGGTCCCCAGGTCCAATTTTGTACATCCATATGTTAGAGGCAGCGCAAGAATGTGGTGCAGGTTGACCTCCTGGCCTGACAAAGAGCCAAACAAGCAAGAGGCCACATATGAACAAAATAATCATTAGGATCAAAACATATGTGAGGTCATTGATAGTAACCTCCGATCCTAATAAAAGCATTTTAAGGTGTTAGATTGTCCCTGTTAAAGTCAAAACCTTAATCCAGAACTTAAAATGTGAAAACCCCTATTTTTCATATCTGCTTCATCCTAACTGACTAAGCTCTGGTTATTTGGAGAACAATAAACAAGAGCATCAGTTTGCAGATATGTAAAGGTTTTACAGACATAGCAAAAACACTGCAGCTGTAACTGATTCCACAAAGCATGGACTCCAGGGGGCTGAATATCAATTAATGTCACAATTTTGCTGAGAAATTATTGCTAAATTTTACAATTATGCACAACTACTTACACTGTAGTCTGGTGAAAAAAAATCAACATTAAATTCAAGTTAGTTTGTGGTTATAATGCGATAAAAGAATGTTTCAGTGGTTTAAAAACTTTTTTTTTCTAAGTATGTAAGAATATTTTCAGTGTCATGGAAAGTGTACAGCATGTAATGTACCAAAGCCGTGTAAAAAAGATTTTATCAGTCACTATTCGCCCAAACATCAACCACAAGACAGAGAGAGAGAAAAAGAAAAATGTTGTGATTAAATTATCTTTGATTAAGTAAAGAATCAAATTTCTGTATAGATGCACAGATTTATGGGATGAGAATAACAATAAAATATTATGCCAAATGCTTTAAGTTGGTAACGTTTCATCTGCTGATATCCCAAAAATGTGCATTTGATGGTGTGTCTGTACCTGATCAGCTTTCTGGTGGAAGCTGGCAGACATCTCCAGCAGAGTGCTGCGTTCATCCAGGGCTGCCGCAAAGGCTTTCCACTCCTGTTCCAACTGGCCTGAGATCTGCTGGATCTGCTGGGAGGCGTAGTGGCCGGACTCCAGGAGTCGATTTCCAACTGACATGATCCGATTGATGTTCACATATACATTCTGTTTAAAAAAAAGGAAGGTAAAGAACAAATATGGCATGAATTTAACAAAAAATAAAAAATAAAAAAACATACCAAGGATGTTTATGTAATGCATTTGATCCAGGTAGATTAGCAGGATTTCATGTAAAACACCAGCGCACCCTGATGCACAAGGCTGCGACTGTTTTTCTCTGATAATTAAGCCTAATTGTGTTTCTACAAAAGCAACTAAAACATGCTTGTAAAACACTGTGGCCATTAGTGTGTGCTGAGAAAAGGTAAATGAAACGAAAACACACGTAAATCCTTCAGACACACACCATCGAGGAACACTGGGGACATTAAAAAGTCCTCCACTCAGAAGGCATACCCTCATGTGAATCATAAAAAAGGCGATTCACCTTTCAGTCTTTTTCTAATGTATCGGCTTCAAGCTGTTTTGTAAAGATAGGCATGGATCAGCAAGCGTTAATTAACAACTGTGTTAACAACCTATTATTATTCTATTCAATTACTGCTCCTGGAGCCCATTATGGCTCTTAGGTCGCTTGTTTTAATCACAAAGAAAAAAACAAAAACGGTTACGAACAAAACACAGCCAAGTCTCAGAGGAGAATAATGGCAGAAAACTGTAGTTTCTTAGAATGGAAAATCAAAAAGAATAAATTATCTTTTGATATTTTAAAAATGGTTAATAAATATTTTATATTATCTATATCTTTATTCTTTTTGTTAGAAGAAAGATTTAGGTTTTAAAAAGTTCATTTGTGAAAGAGAATCATTTCAATCTTCACAGCTATACAGTAAAAAGTGTAATGCGTTTATTTTAAAAGGTGCAACTGTTCTTTTAAAAACTATATTATTAGACCCTATGGTCACGCACTGGTTCACAAGCACTAAAAAACTTGCAGGCTGCAGAAGGACACAGCCACAGCTGAAAGGATAAAGGGGTGGGATGGTGTTCAAAACACACGGGGCCTTAATCCAGAAAGGACGTATGTTGGTGGAGAGTAAGAATTGATTTAAAAGAAACAGAAAAAAAGGTGTGTTGGTTGAGAAAAACAATGGCAAAGGAAAATAGAATGTTTGGTGGCATTAAAACAGGCAGTAAAAGTAGAGAAAATAATATATTGTTCAAATTTAACAAAAAAAGGATTAAAAAAAGTTGGAGTCAGGGTTTCTAAATTCAGCTCAGAGCTACTGACATAAACCACTGACAATTAAGCGGAAATAGTCACAGTAATTAGCCTCTTGAAAATGCAACCAAATGGTGTTAATAAAACTAATAAAACAACTTGAAAACTTGTTTTGTTTTCAATTTTGTTAAACATTGGATTTAAGATCCGAGCAAAACTTTAGTTCTCCTTTTTGTGTTAAAAAAAAATACAATCCACCAAAACAATACAAGGCACAGCTTTGTATTCAGGAAAAAAAACAACAACTGTTTAAGGTGTTTTCATGCAAATCCAGGCCTTGGAGGTCTTTGCTGGAAATATGACTAATCTGTGCCAGAGATCTTTTTGTATACAAAGTACAGGCAAATCAGCGTACTGCACGTACACCCCATTGTTTACCCTTTTCCTTCTTGTAGGCATATCCAGAAAGAAAACTGATATACTTCTGTAGCTTTCTAATCTGGGATTTAGGATATATATTATTTTTCCCCCGGTTTTTTTATTCCTCTGAAGCAGAACACTGTAGCATTATACATCAAAAATACATTTTTAACATCCAAAACATGTCAGACATCTAGTGGCAGGCAGGATCTTTTTGATTCTTCAGTGGTAGCTGATTACAATCTCTCCCTCCCACCTGGTCATTTGCATCTACAGTCACCCTTGGGGTATTTTAGGCACACAGAAGATAGGCTGACTCACAGACAGCAACGCGGTTCAAAGATGGACACCCCTGAAGCAGCCGAGAATCCTGACAATGAATACATGGCAATGGATGCTGACCAGTGGGAAGAGCCAGACGACACGTATGAAAATGGAGACATTGATATTGATATACGACGGAGAGATGGTCTACCTGCACCGGGAGGAGTCCCTGCTAATATGGGCCCCCAGCAAAGTATTCAAACCCAAAACAGTGCAACCTCTCCAAGACTGCCTGTGCATGACAGGTACATGACGATAAGATGGCCACCGTTAAACGCAAACAGAGGATCGGGGAAATCACAGCAGCCCGGTAACGTCCTTAAATTTCAAATAATGTAAAATGAGCAAAAATGCAAAAGAACTGTTATACATTATTCTATGCTATTTAGAGCTCTTGCAGAAAATCGTGTTGGGGCTGATTTTGGTGTGCCTGCTGTTACTCATGTTACTGATCATACTGGCTATTTTCTGTAAGTACTTTTTAAATACTGCAAAGGCTGCAGAACCTTTCTGTTGAAATATTGCACATTATTTGAAACATGGCAGTTTAAATGGTCAGACCATATCTTTTTCTAATGAAATATTTAAGAGTCTATGATACAATGCAAGCAATGGCTTCACGTCATTTTCCTGTATGTTTTAAAGACATAGATGTGACACAGTTGGTAATCATAGCTAAGGGTTTGTGAAGTATGTCCCTGTGTGCTTCTAACAGAAATTAAGACAGCCTCCTTGCAATTTCTTTCATGTAAAGATGGAATTCTAGGAGAAAAAAATTCAAAGGTGACTGAAAAATCAGATAGACTAGAAGATAAAATCAAGAAACTGCAAGAAGAAATGGGTAAGCTACACATTTTTACCAACAACTGACTAATACAATCAGTGACATGCTAAGTTAAAGAAAAGACAGGTTTTCTCAAAGATGATGTTTAATGCAAATACCTCTCTTTGAAAAAGAGAAGAGAAAAGTCTTTAAGACGATCTACAGCATTTCCAGCTCTACAGAAACTGACTGGGAATCTGCGACGGTGCTGTATGTCCTAAACCATTACGTGCTTGAGGTGAGCTGTTTTAGATTTCAGCTTCTTTGTGAGCACTGGGCAGAAAGTACAATGGTGGTATGCCTTAGTCTAATCTTTTTTTTTTCTTGTGTTCACAGAACCACATGAATAAGAATTCATTTACTCTTCACTACTCCAACTTGTATAACGAATCATGTTACACATGGAACTGCACATGTTAATTTGAATATTCCACCCTTCTGCATGTATGTATGTACTGTATAGATTGTATATATAAAAAAAAAAAATCAGTGGCGATTTCTCATAGACAAGCTAAACCTCCCCCGTAAATTTCGTAAAATTATTGGTAATATGCTTTGTCAACCTTTATAAATGACCTCCCCTCTGCTATGGAGCAGCAGGACTCTGCCGTCAGCCTCTATGAGAAATCTCTGTTGAGGTTTGAGCCTCTGTCTGTTAAGGTAAACCGTGAGAAAGTAGAGACCTGATTGGATAACAAACCGAAATACATCACTTCCAGTGAAGCTAAACCTCTTAGAGCAGGTATCCCCAAAGTCGGTCCTGGAGGGCCACCGTCCTGCAGCTGTGCTAAAGCAGAGAAACCTCTAAAACATGCAGGACAGCGGCCCTCGAGGACCGACTTTGGGGATGCCTGTCTTAGAGGGTCTATGAAGCAGGGGCGGGTCATGAAGCTGGATGCTAGATGCTCATTGGCAAACATACTTAAGGATTTTTGACTGACAATGGGCAGATAGGGAAGAGTCGAGAGGGAAAAGCGATCAGAAGACTCATGCTGTGCTGAAGCTGAACTCTGGAGTTTATTATTATATTATATTTATTATTTCAGAGCTCTTCCCAGCAGCTATTTGCACCCTTTGTTGTAATCGGTTTTATGTGTTTCAACATTTGTTAATGCAATATATAATGTTAGGATTTAATAAAAGTTTAAGGTTATAATTAAGTTTTTCTGATATATAAACATAATCTTTTTATAATATTACATTTATATTAATACTATGAAAAACATGTAATCCTATTATTTGGATATTAGAAAAGTATGGAAAATATATCTGTTTACTAGAAGTTTTAAAGGGCTTGTGTGACTGAATGTGAAACATTTTTACTGATTTGCTATTTGTACTGTAGATTAGCAACAGTTAAACAAGCAGGTTAAGTAGTCAGATTACCTCTAAAGAATGAAACTGCAGTCAGACCCTTAACATCTAATTGTAGCTTTGATTGTTCCACACTCTGGAGGTCTTTGTTTTTTACTTACACATTTGGATAAAGACACATTTATCTTTCTTGTGTCCAAATGCCAAAAAATAAAACACAGGCTAAGCAATGCATTTAGTAGGGGAGGGGCAACATTGTGTCTAACTCTACGTCTCAAAGAAAAACAATCATATGACGTACAAATGGAGAAGGATTTATTTTTGAAATTCTAGCTATTTAACACTTTTGTATACTTTGGTACCAGTTAGTGGCTCATGTCTCACTGGGGTGTACAGAAATATGCACATGCTCATGTAGCTAAACCATGTAAATAGTAAATTTTACAGCGAATAAAAAAAAAAGCAAAAAAAACCCAAAAATGATCTGTAGTATTTTTTTGTCAGTCTTGTCTGAAACAGAAAATGTTACAATCTGATTAAAACTTGAACAAAGTTCAGTAAATGAATTCCTATCCATCCATTTTCTCCTGCTTATTCCATCAGGGGGACAGGCGGGGCCGGTGCCTATCTCCAGCAGTGTCGCCAGTCTGTTGCAGGACATCACAGAGACACACAAAGACTTCCAACCATGCACACACACACTAAGATAATGACAATTTAGAAAAAGATACCAAATAAACTAATAGACATGTTTTTCAGACTGTGGGAGGAAGCCGGAGTACCCGGAGAAAACCAGCATGTGCAAACTCTACGCAGAAAGACCCTGGAATCGAACCCAGAACCTTTTTGCAAAAACTGATAATGCATATTTCCCAGTTTGTAGCACTGCTGAGTGCTACAAACATGAGAAAACAGATGAGAAAACCCATTTGCTTTCTAATCAATATAAAGTAAAATGGATCTAGATTTATCCACAATTTTGAATGTTCAAAATTTTTACGGCTCCAGGAAAAAATAATAAGTACAAACACAAAATTATCAGCTGCATATTAGCATAGTTTATATTAATAAAGGAGTATTATTTTAGTAACTAATGGAAAAAGATGTCATTCATAGTTGCACTTACAAAGTACTTCCTATAGGGGGCATAACAGCAACATAACTGTATAAAGCTGGAGTCATTTGGACACTTACATAAGTTTACACAGTCCTTATTTGCATTTAGTCTACATGTCACCTATGTTTACAGTTAAATCCTCACCATTGATAATTGATTACCTTATTCTTTATTGATAAGTAACTGTATTTTCTTTTACACAAGTTGTATTTTTTTTAAAATCACTACCAAATAAATGTGCTTTATTTTATCTTTTTTCGACAACAAACCCCCCCATAGATGGAAATCCTTACACAAATAAGAGTATTTATGTGGTCTGTGAACATGAACGCTTATAAACAGAGTTTCACACCACGTATTTCCAAACAACAGGAAGAGAAAGCGCAGCTTCCTGTAAAAGAATGGGTGGAGGTGGCAATGGTCGCTCCTAACTGTGTCCATGTGCATGTACATACAATATAATCATTTTCTGAAAGACGTAGCATTTCTGTCTACAAAATCAATCATTTAGGTTTTAGTGGCTAATATTAATGTGTTTTAGCTTTATGTGGTGACTAAGCAGCAGTTCCTTAAACTGCTAAAATAATCAGAAACAGAACATCAACACAAAGCTTTCCGTCTTTCCCCGGACAATAACATTATTTCCTGTGGAAAGGTTTCTGCGGTTTGAGTCAGAGGTTATAATGTGTTAATCGCTCCTCCTAGAATAAACCGGAGCCTGATTCAGACTTGGTTTACTGCTTGTTTAGAAGATTTTCCATTAAAAGTTAGGAGGCAAAAGCAATACACACATAAAAATTATGATAATAAAAAACTGTGATAATAAAACACAGAAAAGAGGCAGATTTATTTTCTCTATTTTGTGAAAGAACAGAAATATATACTATTGGAGTGCATAAGACAAAACCAAATGTCCAGCTATTTTCATCAGTTTTCATCCCAAGTCTACAAATAAGTAGTTATATGGGAGAACCTATAGGGAAATACTGGGAACTACTTCCTGAAATTGCATAAGAATAAAATTAAAAACATGTGAGACTAACAGAAAAAACTAAATTGTAAAAATTTGTTCCAAATAGGTAATTTCTTGCATCATGACTGCACAGAAAGAGGGGCTTCTCTTCATTATTCCAGTTATCTGCTGGATACTGAGGACAGTTTTAACCCAATGCAATGGCTCTTTAAAGCATCCTCAGCACAAATGTCATAGTTTTGTTATGTAACAAATTGAAACAAATAAATCATTTTAAATCTTAATTCCCACATAATAAAGTATTTTTTTTCTAAAAATATTTGTTTTCAGTTAAACTAAAATAAAGTCTAGGTTGTATCTGTGAAAAGTTTTAAAATAATATTGGATAAACCTGTGTTCTAACAGGGCAGTGTAGATCTTTGAGAAATCTTTATATGCATGTAAGAATGAGTGGATTAAAATAAATAAATAAAACGAAACCAAAACGATCAACAAATACAAAACCGCCTCTTACCATGCAGTTCATTGCAAAGTGGTTGTGCTGTGTCTGCAGCTCCACAGCATGCTGGTGATTCCCTCCAATCTCAGTGTAGCTGGTCAGAAAAAGGCCCTTGTTGTGCATGATCCAATCAAACATCTACAAATAAAAAGCATAAAGGGAATATAACAAAGATTAATTTAAAAAGGAAAAAGCTTTTTCTGTTTTATGCTGAGAACAGCAGCAAGCGGGGCCTGTCGCTGAGGGTCTGTTCTTTAAACCTTTCACTCAGCATCTTAGCACCTATTTCTCTAAAGTCATCTTTAAGTCTTGTTCTTATGGAATAAATAGAAAAAGAAACACACATTTACTGGGTTTGCTTTCCTGCAAAGACTTTTTTAACAGTTCAGCAAAGTTTTTTTTTACATTTATGAAATAATTTGGCGAAGCATATCCAACACTGCATGGCTTTTACCTTTCAACAGCTATGCTACTGTATGCGGTTGTCAATGAAAAAGCAGAAAAATATCTGAAATATCTTCAACTTGACAAAAGTTTAAAGCGGTCCGGTAACATTTATCCATATTTACCACAAGTTTGCCTCTTGAATATTTAGCGGAACATTTCATATGATTGAAAAGCAGCTTAATCTTTTGTTGATCTGAATGTGAACATCTCTTTTTCTTACATTTTTAAATCTTTTCATACATCCTAAAAGACAGTTAATCCTAATGTTTTTTTTTGTGTTTGAGTGATTATCTTGTTGTTTGAGCCATGATTTGTCTCTGAAAGTGAGCTTTCTGACCCTGGACAGCATGCTTACCACCAGAATAACATGACAGTCTTGTGAGTTCACTCTAATTTGCAGAGGTTTAAGATTCCCTAACAAGATAAAGAAAACAGTTTCATAATACTTTTTTTCTTATTATTTGAAAATTGAAACATTTTATTTTTTGTTCTATGAATAGTAGTAGTAGTAAAATATTCCAGGTTTATTCTTTTGGGCTTGCAAAGATGATTTGTGGTGAAAGAAAACAGATTTTCTGTCATTCTATTTTCTATGTTTCTGTCTGCATGAACCATCTGATCAACAAAAGGTTGCGTTATTTCTTGCATCCATGTAACCTACAGTTGCTCAAAACCTCAAAAATAAATTCAGGGTCACAGTATCTTAAAGCTGCTTCAGACATTACCCTAACCTTTAACAAGAATATAAGTAATCCCATTTTTGATCCGTGTCAACCATGGTGCCAAAGTACCATAATGAGGATGGCTGCTTAAAAGCTTCAAGGCATCAGTGATACACAATCCAGAGTATAATCTAATTTCAAACATAACATATACTAAAGGTACCCAAGTTTAAAACAAATTAAATTATTGCTCAGAGAAATGAAGCTTTGATTCAATAAGCTACAAGGTACTAACTCATTTATCTGTGTCTGCATCCCTTTGGAAATGTTTGCAAAGTGGGTCAAAAATAATTTTTTTAATCCTACATCATGTAGCAGATGTGAGACTAACTTACTTTGACAAATTAAAGCAGATTTTCTGACCTTCTCAGCGTCCTGCTCGAACAGCCGAAGCTGGAAACACTGGTCCAGCTTCAGCTTCCTCATGTGCCACAGCTGCTGCAGATTTTGCCGCGTCCCGTGCAGCTTCTCCAACAAAGCCGTCACTTTAGCTACCAAGTTGTGTGCGTCCGCATGTGCGTGATGACCATGATGGTGGTCATTGGAGTCTCCGCTGGCTCCAACGCTACGGTTACTGTAGCCTCCTTCGCCGCCACCCCCGACCCCTGCAGCCTGTAGCTGTAGTCTCTGGAGCAGTCTCCGACCCTGCGTATCAAGCTCCTCTATAGATGCCTTTGTGGCCCTTTTCTTTAGTGCAGCGTGCTCCTCCATGAGCCGCCTGGCCGCCTCCAAGTCCCGTGGAAGGTCTCGCTGAGACAAGGTTTCCTGGAGTTCTTCGAGGCGTGCCAGCGCTCGCGCTGCATCACTGGCAAAAGTCTCAAAAGAGAGCCGCACCTGCAATGAAAATGTCTAAACTGGAGATTAAATTGTACAATACAGATTAAGCTTACCTAAAGGAAGGATTTTAAGATAGAAGGTAACAAATAACTGGAAATCTGCCAGAACTGGGATTAAATATAAAGAGGAAATCCTCAAACCTCGATCCAATCGTCATGGTTATACTCCAAGCTGCCGTCGAAGTCAGCAGTGAGCTGGGAAGGGTCAACGATCTTGGTTAAACCGTCTAAGGACACCATCACCGTCTGAGGGACGTTGGGAGATATGGGAGTGATAACAAAAAAGGCATAAGGACGGGAAATCGGAAAGATTGAGAGTGAACCAAGGGAAATGGAGAAAACAAAAAAACTAAAATAAAATACATAGATGCACCCAATGACAATAAAAAACCCTGCAGACTGACCAAAAAAAAATAGATAAAAAGCATTTTTGTTATTACTAATAAAACTGACACATAAGAACATAAACTGACAGGAAGTAAAAACAGAAAGTTCCTGGTTTAATGGAGAAGGGAAGACATAATAAAAACACCTTCAAAAAGTGGCTGAATTTGAAGGGGAGCTGGTATCGGATTCTGTTTTGAATTTAAACAACCACATCTATGAACATATTCACATTTATTACGCTGCTACAAAAAGGCAGAAACATGAGCCTTTACAGGGAAGTGCTCATAAATTCTGCATTAACAAAATGTGGAGAAAGTGACTTTTTTACTTCTTCATGTGAATGTTATTTTTTTAATAATTATTAACAGCAGTATGTTTGACATTCTTGCAAACTAAAGGTCATCTGGGATTTGGAAGGAAAACATCTTTCACTTCAGTCCCAATCAGCAGCAGTTGTGAAAACCTATCAGGATTATATGTTGAGTCCATCTTAATTATCTCCCTTTGGTCCTGAACTTTGCTACCAAGCTGAGAGTTAAACTGACAGCTTCCTATTTGACTGCAGACTAAAAGAACTTTGCAGGAATTACAAAAGCAATCCAAACTTAAAGTATACAAGTAAACTTAGGAAGAAATTCTTTGCATGTCCTATTTCTCCTGGTTTTATGGTAACTGGGTCAGAACTAAATATACCAGCTACACGGCCACTTGGGACAGAACAGTGTTGCTGTCATAGTGCAGCAGTCCAATTAAGGCCAATAAAAAGGCTGTTTCTTTTCAAATTGACAAGAATTTTAAATCAACTAAACTACAAGTTTCCTTTCTCATGACACATAGTAATGGATGAGATATACTGTTAAGTTAAAGACATCATCAAATAATACAAAAAAAGACAGTGATTCAAAGTAAACTAGGTGAATTAACTGGATAAAACCCAGGGACTAGATTACAGTGACTGGTAAATGCATTTCTTTTTTTGTGTGGATTGAAAAGCATCACTGACCTCAAATTCAAACTTAGAACTGCCAAAGTTGGTCCGCTGCTTCTGCCAGAAGTTGTCTGGTTTGATGATGAGGGCGACGTGGATGCATGAAGGAAAAGATTCCTGCAGAATCTTCAGCAGCGGTTTGATGCTGTCCCACTTAGAACCACGCATGTCCACAATGACTGTGAAGCCATGTCGGGCCACCTCCTCACTGCAGAACACATTGAAAACAAACTCAAATATGATTTAAAAAAATAAATATAAATATATATATATATATATATATATATATATATATATATATATATATATATATATATATATATATAGTTTGTTTTAGCTCCAAGTGAAGGTCCAGTCCTCCAACACGTCTGGAGAGGAGAAAAGACAATAAAAAACATTGAAGCGTTGAAATTTCCCCCTGCTACTTACCAGGAGTCATGCTGCCGTACCAGCCCATAAAAGGTTATTTCTTAGCATTAAAGCCTATGATCTAAATGTGTCTAGCTGTAACACAGAAACAGGCGCAGGCCGTCCTGCTCTATCTCACTCTGACCTCACTCTGAAAACAGAGCAGCAGCCAAATGGGGAGAGAAAACAGAGCGGAGAGAAAAGGGAGAGGAGAGCAAGAGAGAGCGAAAAAGAGCTGACATAGAAGAGAGGGTGCAGAAAAACATACAAAAAAGCAGCAACAGATTTGGGTTAGGGGTAGGAAACTAAATCCATCACCCCTAAACTTCTCTGTTCTAAACCGGTCTGCCACCTCACATGATTTCTTCATCTAGAGATGAACAGAGAAACCATCTGGTAGCAAGAATTGTCCAATTATATGTCTGGATGGTGCTATTCAGTGATCACCCCACCGTAAAAGATTAATCAGATATATCAGCCCACCATCCTTTAGAGCTAAAGACAACAATCTATTCTGTGTGAAAGTCATCACTGAGTGAAGATGCTTCTAGAAACCCCACTTTTTATGAGGTATGAATGTTATTCATACAGGCTGCAACAGCAGGAAGTTAAAAGTCAGCAAATGACATCAAGATAAATATATTGCAGCACAGCTTTTCTGTAATATCATTTTTAATGGTTTTAAGCCAGGGGGACATGTTAGGTGCTGATAATCTTTTAGAAATCTCACAGAAAAGGTTCGAGGATATAGGAAATACACAAGGGGGTCATGCTAAGGTCTAATAGTGGGCGCTAAATTAAGTTTAAAATGGAAACTCTCCAAATATATTTTTGGTTAAAATGAGTTAACCCTTTTTTTCCACCACAAAGCTGTATAGCAATTATCTCTAACAAACACATAGGGAGGATCCATCTTTTGTTATAATTACAACAAATACATCAATTAATAAATCAAATATAGGGGAAAATTTGACTATTTCCCCTTCTGATTTTTTAAACAACCTTGTCAAAATTAAACTAAATGATTTGATTTGATGTACATTTTTTTTCTTAAATGTATTAAGTTAAAACGTGTCTTATAAAGGCATTAACAGTTTCACCTTTAGTGACAGCATATGCTGTGAGTGGGCTTAGTTAGGTTTTATTTATAGATAACAGATTTTTTATTATTATTATTTAATTGTTTTGATAGATTTACAATAATGTAGCTCGAACTTGCCATCTACTTTTGGGAAACATACTATTCACCTCTATGATGATGATTTTATTATTGAACTTTCACATTTTCTTCTTATCGGAATAGTAATGAAATACCTTCTTTTTGTTAAATAGAGTTCTGTAATTAGCAAAATTTACAAATTTAGTTACTAGAATCTCTCCCTTCTTCTAGTCTTCTGGTAGCAGCTCAATTTAGCATTTTAATAAAAAATGCATGAAAACAAATTCAGAGTATTGATCTTAACTATGAGTAAGTTAAACAAGTCCTTTTACTGTAAGACACATGGCAAAATGTTGAGAGCTGATGAGATATGTGATATTATGCGTTACAGCAGCTCTTGGTGACATTTAAGAAAATTACAGTAGGAACATATTCATACAAATGTATTCAATTGTAATAAAAATATCAAATTTATAACAATAATATAATGTGATCCACTTGCTTGGCTAATATCCTCCACAGTGTCTCCACAGTGGGCAGCCCAGGACACAACAGGCCCTAACCAGCTTCCTTAGTTTCTTCCTGTCTCCCTTTAAGCTGCTAGGGGGCTCAGCACATAACAGAGGCTACCACAGTAATCTCTTTAAATTATTATCTAAAATGTGTTCATTCAAATATTCCCCACTGATTTAGACTAATTTAAAGAACAAACAATAAGATGGTAATTGTTTGGTCAGGCAATTAATCGATTCAGCTGTCAAACCGCTGTTATCTGAAAGTGATTTCTTGAGGGTGAGGAACAAAATGGAAAATGGCTTGCAGTGCGGACAGTCTTAGTTGTTTGTCCAAAAACACAAACAGGAAGAAGGATTAATAAATTAAAACTTACTTTAAAAATGACTTTTGGACTGTTGTAGAGGTACTTATTGTTCTTAAGCACATACACTATATTGCCAAAAGTATTTGCTCACCCATCCAAATTATTGGAATCAGGTGTTCCAATCACTTCCATGGCCACAGGTGTATAAATTCAAGCACCTAGGCATGCAGACTGTTTTTACAAACATTTGTGAAAGAATGGGTCGCTCTCAGGAGCTCAGTGAATTCCAGCGTGGAACTGTGATAGGATGCCACCTGTGCAACAAATCCAGTCGTGAAATTTCCTCACTCCTAAATATTCCACAGTCAACTGTCAGCTGTATTATAAGAAAATGGAAGTGTTTGGGAACGACAGCAACTCAGCCACGAAGTGGTAGGCCACGTAAACTGACGGAGCGGGGTCAGCGGATGCTGACGCGCATAGTGCGAAGAGGTCGCCAACTTTCTGCAGAGTCAATCACTACAGACCTCCAAACTTCATGTGGCCTTCAGATTAGCTCAAGAACAGTGCGCAGAGAGCTTCATGGAATGGGTTTCCATGGTCGAGCAGCTGCATCCAAGCCATACATCACCAAGTGCAATGCAAAGCGTCGGATGCGGTGGTGTAAAGCACGCCGCCACTGGACTCTAGAGCAGTGGAGACGCGTTCTCTGGAGTGACGAATCGCGCTTCTCCATCTGGCAATCTGATGGACGGGTCTGGGTTTGGCGGTTGCCAGGAGAACGGTACTTGTCTGACTGCATTGTGCCAAGTGTAAAGTTTGGTGGAGGGGGGATTATGGTGTGAGGTTGTTTTTCAGGAGCTGGGCTTGGCCCCTTAGTTCCAGTGAAAGGAACTCTGAATGCTTCAGCATACCAAGACATTTTGGACAATTCCATGCTCCCAACTTTGTGGGAACAGTTTGGAGCTGGCCCCTTCCTCTTCCAACATGACTGTGCACCAGTGCACAAAGCAAGGTCCATAAAGACATGGATGACAGAGTCTGGTGTGGATGAACTTGACTGGCCTGCACAGAGTCCTGACCTCAACCCGATAGAACACCTTTGGGATGAATTAGAGCGGAGACTGAGAGCCAGGCCTTCTCGTCCAACATCAGTGTGCGACCTCACAAATGCGCTTCTGGAAGAATGGTCAAAAATTCCCATAAACACACTCCTAAACCTTGTGGACAGCCTTCCCAGAAGAGTTGAAGCTGTTCTAGCTGCAAAGGGTGGACCGACGTCATATTGAACCCTATGGATTAGGAACGGGATGTCACTTAAGCTCATATGTGAGTCAAGGCAGGTGAGCAAATACTTTTGGCAATATAGTGTATGTTTCCTTTGCTTTAAAAAAATCTTAGGAAAAAAAAAAATCATTAAAAAGCTTGTTACACTTGATAAAGCACTCGAGGATCCATTGGATCCTCAGAATCCAGACTGTTAGAGAAGGAATTTATCCTAAACTCTCAGAAAAAGAATGAACCAAATGCTAAATCAAATTAATCCTTTATACACCAGCGTAACACATACTAAAACAAAAACACAGCTATTATTTTTTTTTTTCCTGCGGCCCCTTAAAAGATTCTGGAAAAGTCACCCAGAACATTGTTTTTTCCTACATCTAATTTGTGCTACCTCTCAACTCAAGAGATGTGTTGGAAATACTAAAGTGGGAAAAGACTTAAAAGCACTCGACCTGCAAAGCGCTAGAAAGTGCCGCACAGGAAAGATTAGAGGCTGCAGAACTGAAGAGTATAAACTGTGACTCCAGGGTAATCATAAGCTGGAACTTTGCATTAAAAGGTGTCCTTCAGAGCTGCACTTTGCTCTGCAAGTTATTCTTGTGGCTACATGTTTAAGGCTTTTAGATATAAATCAAACAGCAAATATAAAGGAAGACAAGGAAATATGAAAAATAAAATAACTATATATATTAAAACAACAACAGCAACAAAATAAAAAAAACATACAAAGGTAATTGCTACCACCTTCTTAACAATAACAGACTCAAAAAGAACAGGTCATTGAGGTTAGATCTATAAAGAGAACTAGTTTTTCTACAAAGCTGAAGGTTAATTAAAGACAGAAATCAAGAACAAAGATGTTAGGTAGAAAGACAAACAATTCAAAACATTTCTAGCCTCAGGTTATTGTTTTAAACTCTAGCAAGGTGGGAAAATCTACCAAAGAGTTGTGCTTTGTGTTGTGAGAGGGAAGGGTGGGATTGAGCTGTTCAGTTCATAAAAAAAGTTTGTTTTTTTTAATTAAGCAATGTTTTATCTGGAAAACTAATAGAAACAGAAGTTATCTTTTTAGAAAGTCAACAGTTTGATCTTTGTAATATCCAATCTCCAGATTTCATAAAGGTTTGACCTGCCCCTTTATGACCATTCCTGAAGGGTGATAATTACCGGCTCTAAAATACTTTTTTATCCTTTTTGTCGGGGAACTGAAACAATGTATTAGCTAGTTTATTAAGCTGTGTCAGTGAGAGGGAAGTTGCACTAAAACAAGGTTTTAATATTTAAAAAAAACATTTAAAATTATAAAAGATTAGAAATTTTTAATATGGTATTAGTATCATGTCTTAACAAAAAGCACAGTTAGCATTATTAGTATTTCTAACTGCAAATGAAAGTCTCAGCAGGTATTTCTTGGTAAAGAAAGGCAGAAGAGATTTCTAGATTTCCAAAAGTCTTCCAACATTTTAAAATCTGAAGTTAGCTAAAGAGATGTAGTGTCAATTAACGAATGAATGACTGTAGTGTAAAGCGCTTTGGTCAAGTCCGGAACTTGAGAAAAAAAAAGCACTATATAAGTACAGGCCATTTAGCATTCAAATATATCTATATTGCAACGCTCTGTGGCAGTGATCCAACACCTTTTGTATTTCTCTGACTACTTTTTAAGTTGTTGATTCAAGTTTGGAGTGAAATAAATTGTGATGGTAGTTGGCTGTACTTATACAGTACTTTATCAAGTCAAAGTCCTTTACACTGCATGCAGTCATTTTCCCATCAGTGAGTGAATACATTACATTAGGTGTCAAATTTCTATTATAAATATTTTTTTTATTCTTACATTTGGAAAATTCTAACAAACACACCATACAGAGTTCCACAAGCCCTAAAGGGACAATAAGTTGATCAAGAGAGAGACCATATGAAGACACAGAAGCTGGGAAAAACATATCAACTAGTTTAATAAAGGGCTGAATTATTTGTTAGTAATCAGTTTGTATCCCTCCAAACTGTAGCTGAATCAAACCATGAAGTGTCTGAAATCTTCTGCTTAACCCTAAATATTAACCTAAAGGGAATGTGTACCAGATTTAGATGCTCAAATATGTTCTTACTTTATTCATTCAAATTAAGTAACAAAAGAATATCAGGCAAACCAAAAAAAATAAAAAATTAAATCCTTTCAGCTATTTGTACTTGTCCACAGTAGGCACCTATATACTTCGCTTTTAGAGAAAGCCCTTATATGTTTGCTCCCTACCTTGGAATAGTAGCCAAGTATGCTACAAGCCTGCGCAGGTCATCAGGTCGTATTCGGTCATGGTTGCTCCGTGCTGGAAAAGTGAGAATAGGACCTCCTCGTCTGTCTCTACCACCTTTGGATTAAAAAATATTAGATGACAAATTAATTAATGAAATTCACTTTAATTATACAAAGAGTAATAACTTGGTTATTAATGTCATTTTGACTCTAAGTAACCTAAAATAACCTGGAAACCTAAAAAAAAAAAAACAATAAAATAAATACAACAGATCAAAAGACTTCAAGTCACTTATTTTTATTTTTTTTTTTATAAATAAAACAAAACCCAACTTCATTAACCCCAAATATGACCTGAGAGCTGAAATAAATGCAGTAGTGGATTATTTTTTGTTTGTATCAAAACCATCAGCTAAATTCTCAGCAGTTAGTCATAACCATGCTGAGTCAAACTATAGAGTAAGAATCCAAATATTCTCATAATGAAACAACACCTAAGTCATGATTCAGGTAATAAAAATGTAACAGAACTTATTAAATTAAAATCAAAAGGGTAGAAGAAATAGAGACTACTATTATAGTATAATAGTATTATTATAGCATAATTATTACCATTTGTTTAGCCTTTTTCTATTATCTATTTCAATATGAAACGATACGGTATTTGAACAAAACTGTAATAAAACAGCACTCCACATACTAGATATCCACAGAAAGAGGTTTTTATAGGCCAGTGCTGATACAAACTATTTTGACATCAGTCTAACTGATCTCTGATATGTGCAGCCAATTGTTTGGGGCCAATTTTTGAAAAATATATTGCCTTTTGGTCCTCCATTTGCATTACTAAAGTGACACAATAATAGCAAATTTTACACAAGTCTAAACTTTAAAACAGAAATATTTATCAACAAATCAGACAAAACATTAACTTTGGATAGCTAATCATATGCCTTTTAGTTCTCTCACGGCCTGGCTGCTGAATGTGCCAATGATTCAAAGAATGCATCCAGTTTCTGAAGAAACAAAGCTTTAAGTACTATGCCAATATGTGACGAGTGGATTTCTCCACTGTGAGATGAATAAAGCTCATCTAATCTAATCTAATCTGTCAAGACCACCATGCTACCACTTTGGAAATTTTATAGATAATCTCATCAGTAAACTGAGTATCTTTTCAAACGTTTCAGGATTCTTTAAGAATGGGAAATGCAAATGTGTCATTTTCAATTTAAAACTCTTGAACTTTCTTATAGCTCAGCGGTTCTTTAAATAACATTCTTGGTTGCTGTATGAGTCATTGATTTGCACATCAGATCATTTTGCTAGGCTAGCCACTGAACTGTGAGAAGGTTTACCATTCTGCCATATTTTCCCATTTATTGGACAGTTCAATAAAAATATAGCACTTTCTTAAAACAAAAGTGATATCAACTGTTTTTGTAAACGCTCATGTCTGTGGGCTGGAAGGATCGCCTGTGATTGTCTTACAGCAGATCTGGATAAGCCTCTAACTAAAGAGATTTACTGCTGCTGTACGACTTTCTGATTATGAGGATGCTGAGGTTTCCCCTGCTATTCTTTATTTTATGAAGAATTCTTCTTTGTAAAATAATTTCCTAAGATTCGTCCCTTTTTGCAGAGACCTTAAGACCTTAAAAGTTGTGTCACTAGTCCAGTAATAAAGTAAAAAATAATGGCTCTCACTGCAGTTTGCTGGAGTCCAAAAAAGAAGGTGAAAAAAAATTAAATAATAATATATATATATATAAATATATATATTTCTTTTTAAGGATTACTATAATTACACCTATTATACATTAATATGATACTGTTTGAGTCCTTTAGCCTACCTCATGTTGCCTTAAAGTTAACATGAAATTCCAAAAATACGTCATGCCAGAAGCCAATAGATACAATAGCTTTGAATGCAGATATGTTTGGATCCAATTAAATGCAGTTACATGTATGACATCAATAAGAGTCAGCTGGCTGGAGCAAACAAACATGGCTGCCGGTGGACGTACCTCTAGACTATTTGCTCATTCTGTTTTAGCTGGAATTACTTCTCTTTCTATTTCGAAAAACAAGCATAAGGACAGGATATGTACCTTTTTGCATGCTAAAGATGTTTGCACGTTCCTGACGACCGGATTTAGCATTAATATGATTTATCAGTTAACTTTGCTAGTTGTGAAAGAAATTAAGAAGCTGCAGAGGGATCCTATTGCTATCATCGTGATCGCTCTCGTAGACGATTAAGCAGCTAAGGCTGTAAAACTGAGTATTACCGTTATAAAATTTGTTGGCAATGATGAAAAAAGTCCTCAGCGGCAATCTAAGGTAGACATGCTTTCATTTGAGGTGTACAAGGAAAACATTGGAATTGATGTGGATAAAGGAAATTATATATACAATTAAATATAGAACACTAATTTGTGCATATCTGGTACATCACTTGGTTATTTACTCAAACAGATTGAAGAGATATGCTGATTGTCCATCCCTTTATAGATGGATTATGCATAGAATTCATATTGAACTACAGATATATATCTGGCTTATGTCAGGTTATGTAATAAGATCTGGGTGTCATTAATTACTAATAAAAATGTAACCATATAATACTTAAATAACTGATTTCACAAGAAGGGTTATTACATTTTCTCATGGTAGTTTAATTTAATAGTTTGTTTTTCCTTGACAAATTAGGTCCCCTAAAAACCTCCTACTAATAAAGCATTGTTAATTAAAGGTATAAAACATTGCAGTCAAGCATAAAAGACATTTCCCACTGTGACTGACCTGAAAGAAAGGCAACCTTCTCTTTGAGGATAGGAAGCACATCAATTGCCTTCATATCCTCATTGCGATGAAACCCTGAAAAGAAAAGAGCAAAAGAAATATATGTCAAAAAAAAAAATTCTCTTTGTGTTTGATTACCTGTCAAGTTTAATCTCAATTGTACATCGTTTAGACGTCCTGCAGCCTGAAGGCTGATTGGATCTGCTTAAGCAAACAGATAAGACGACGACTGTGTTTAAAGGCAGTTCGACAATTATCCATCCTAATTGCCTTTGCTGTTTAATTATGACATTATTTTATGAAACAAGCAATTTAAACCCAGAGTGCTCATCCTAACAAAGCTAATGATTTGTTTTGCCTCTTTAATGAAGGTGGCTCTGATCTACACAGAAATATGTTCCTCTTTTGCCACTGAACCAAATAGTTTTCCGATCAGTTTAGTGGAATTCCGTCTGACAACATATCACTACTTCTCCATTGCTTTTGAGAAGGAAAACAATACTGCAAACAACAGTGTGAGGTTTACGCTGTATATTGATCACTGAGCGATATTGCATATCAGTGCTGAAAGCAGGAGACGGTGACATCAGTTAACCAGAAAGCAGAGTATGTCACTGACCTTACGGGTTCGATTACATCTGAAAAACATTGCAGATCAAGTAATATTTTTTCTCTTTGGTTTCTCAAGTGAACTTCAGCATGGCCTGGTCTGTGTTTTGTTGTTGTATAATCTTCAAATGTCAACCTCTCTGCCTCAACTGCTCAGCAGATGATCACAAGGTTCTTGCAAATGAGCAAAAAGCAATGTTAAAAGACGCTCACACACATTTACACACATTCATAAACTGATTTATTTGTGTTTATCAGATCTTTCCTGGATGAACAAATTTAATACACTGACACAATACATGCGCCAGTGTAATCTGCTTTTACAACAATGTTCCTACTTTCCAGAGTCCACTACTATTATTTATCTGATGGTTAACAATGACTGTTCGTTTTTTCAGAACGTATAACGACATTTGGGGGTAGCTTGAGGGCGGAACTAAAAAAAATCTCTGCATGCCTACAGGTTTCATCCCTGTCTTGTAGCAAGACAGATTTCTTTTCATTTCTGCAAAGGCTCCTTTATAGGCCCAGCATGAAGCAAATTTATGTTGCATGAAATTATTATGGTCCGCCCTTAATTTAAAATATTATGGGTCAAGTGGATGATGTAAGAAGTCGGTGGAGGTAAAATACAGCTGTTTAGAGCTCAGTCTTTGTCTGACATTAATGTCTGCTTTTCTAGATTTTATGAGTGTTATATCTTGCATTTTGAACTTAATTTTTATTAATCTTATCTCTTATAATGTATTGTTCACTTTAATTTTTTAGCACTGTAAGATGCTAATATGCAAAGTGCATTTTAGTATCTTATCTTTTGTAGACACTAGACTGCATGTAGCCTATAAAATTCCCTCATTTAATTGGTGTAGCCAAACCCCTTTGCACTTGTTATCTCCTGCACACAAAATCTTTATACATCACAACACACCCACTTATTGCACCTACAATCTTTTGGAACATGCACTTAAGTGCTTCTTGTTAGAAATATTTCAGCATCCAGCCCTTGAAGTTAAAATATGCACATTTTAAGAAATTTTAAAAGCATTTTTAACCTTTATACATGGGTCTACTGAAATAGTGAAAAGAAGTTTAATTTGTATTCGATTTCTAATCAAAATGAGTGTTTCTTCCAAATTAAAAACTTATTATAAACAAAGGGTGTAAAGTTGTAAAAAGATTACAGAGATTATAGAAAATAAATAAATAAATGACAGAGCTAAGAGGACCAGACTGGTGTGAGAATACAAAAGGCGCCCAAGGATACAATAGAACAAGGGTAAACAATGCAATCTGTACATCCATCCATCCATTTGTCGTCACGCTTATCCCAAGCGGGGTCGCGAGGGGTGCTGGTGCCCATCTCCAGCTGTCATTGGGCGAGAGGCGGGGTACACCCTGGACAGGTCGCCAGTCCATCGCAGGGCAACATAGAGACAAACAGGACAAACAGCCATTCAAACACTCACACCTAATGAGAATTGAGACAAGCCAATTAACCTAACAGTCATGTTTTTAGACTGTGGGAGGAAGACGGAGTACCCGGAGAGAACCCATGCTTGGACATGGAGAACATGCAAACTCCATGCAGAAAGACCCCGGAACGGGAATCGAACCCGCAACCTTCTTGCTGCAAGGCAGCAGTGCTACTCAAACACACACACAAAAGAAACAATGATACAAATGTGTACAGGAAGGAGGAAAGAGACTACATACTAAAAAAGAAAAAAATGTATGCAACATGATGCCAGAGATTTTTTGACTTTTCTCAACTTTTGTCTTCTGTTGGCCCTGCCATAGACTGGCGACCTGTCCAGGGAGACCCTGCCTCTCACCCCCTGACAGCTGGGAATAGGGAACCAGCAACCCTCATGACCCCAGCAGGGATAAGCATGATAGAAAATAGATGGATGGATGCCTGCTGCTGTTGAATTTACTAAGGTTTATTAGTTCAGACAAGAGTTCTGCCAACTTAAATGTTGTTGTTCACTTAATTAGGATAATCCTGTGATACTTACATATGCTTTTTTTTTAAACAAAAATTAAACAACTGTTCTCTCACCCATCCCTGGTGGGTCTTGCACAAGGATCAGCAGTGGATGATGCGAAACCCCAGATAGATATGCTCTATGTGTACTCGTGACATCACCACATGCACGGCTAAACTGGACCTGCATTTCACCTGATGTTATCAATAGTCTCTACATTATATTAAATGATCGTTATTTTTCATTTAGTGGGGGGGAAACTGATTATCACAATCAGATAAACACAAATCAAAAGAATGCCATTAGAGCCAGAGGAACTTCACACAGGGCTATGACAAAAGAGGGCTTATGCAGCCACGTTAACGTTAGCCCTGGCTGTGGTTAGCCTCGAAGCTCCGCTGGTTGCCATGGTCCTCTCAACATCAGAACTTTTTTTTTTTATTGTTACGCACTAAATTAATAAAAGATTAGCAAGGCTTAGTTAGAACAACAATGAGATAAATTTATTGGCCAGACAAATTTTTGCAGGTTGTAAATTTCCTTTTTGTGTTGGTTTAACTTGAAAGTTTTAATAAAAGCCACAATACTAGTAATCATTTTTACACTGCTGAACTACAATTTACTTGTACTGTTAATGTTAATGTGTCCTTTTGTAAACTAGAATCCTGCTGCACCATGGGTTCACTTCAAAAAAGTTACACAGACCACAAAAAAACCTTTGAATAATGCCCCAACCCCTTGAGCCGCAGCAATGCAACAGTTTGATCTACAGTCACTGAAAAGCTAAGTGTCTTTCTATTCAAATTCATAAGGTTTTACAATCCCTTTCTGTCTTTTTGTTGTTTTTTTTCAGCCATCACCGCACCACCTGTTTCAAATCCATTTATTCCCTCCCCTTTGGCTCGCACAAATAAAGACACACAGTCGGAAGTCAACACATAAGTTAAAGACAGGAGGGTGTGAGTTTGTGTGTGGATGTGGGGGTGGGGGGACATGAAACATCACCATTACAGGACATAGAGCAATACCCCTCCTGCACTTTGTCTTTGAGCACATGTGTGTTTCCTGTCAAGTGTGCACAGACACATTCCTCACCATAGTGGTTTATATAAGATACTGGTTTGGGCAGGCGGCCAGAGCTGACCTCCTTTAAACAGCTGTCGCCAAGCTTGACTGTTGATCTGCACCTTTTTGAACTCCACATCAGACCACATCTGGCAGAACATGAAAACTATGTTATGACCCCTTTTAAGCCAGCAACATACTGTATGTGGCTATCATGCAAGTTTTTTGGGGGTGTCTTGTATGGATTGCAGGCAAGTATAAACAACAGAATAAAGCTTATGCTTTCCAATTGGGTAGGTTGCTTGTAATGTCAACACAATAAGGGAGACAGAACATGACAATGCATCTCATGATTTAAATCATGTTAATTTGCATAGCATAGAATGTTCGGTGGAATAAAAACTTTCACAGTGGTGCCCATCCTTTCATCTCTACTAAATGCTTTCTGAATGTGAAATAAACACTCCATTAAACTGGTATTGACAAGGTGGAATTCACTTCGGTTAAAAGAAAAACGTTTTCACTATTAAACTCTGACAGAGCATGTGTTAATAACATCTTATATTCATTTTTTAAGTTTAAAGATTTATTTGATATAAAGCACACAAAAAGCAAAACATAACTATCATTGTACAGGGTCCAAAACTAAAATTAAGGCAAAAAGATGTACGTATACCTCCACTGATATTTGGATAAATTAGTGTAAGCAAGTCTTAAGGCCAATTTATGTTTCTGAGGCATTGCCTTTGTAACCGTCAAATCTGTCTCTGTGTGCAACCACGCCCCCCCGCACAGAGGTTCTACATCCGTTGTCGCGCACCTAAAAAAAAATCCTGACTACGCATTGGACGGTCGCAAACCCACACAGACCTCAAGCAGAGAGGCGCAGACAAAAGCAGCTGTGGTTGGTCCTTTCCAGCTGTCTGTGTGGTCGTCCTTCTCGATTCGGTGCCGGGGCACGCCATTTTTAAAAACCAAGACAATTTTTAAAAACGACAAATACAATGGACACCTATGATGAAAGGTTAATCGAGGAGGTTCTGAAGTACAATCTGTCGAAGTTCTCGTGAGTTCTTGAATAGGCTCCCCCTTGCACTTTGGCGGGAAACTGCTGTGCGTCCCTAGAAATTCCAGACCGACGGTTCAGAAGCATACCAGCAGAACTGATTTGCGACCAGACCTAAGCAACATTTGATATGTGTGGTTGCAGAGGTCTAATCTGTCCTTTACCTCAACTACATGCCTCTCTTAGCAATCAACAAGGTTTCAGAGTAATTCTATTTGAACATTTCTGCAAAGAACACGAATGACTATTTAAACTTTGCGTTTTCCCTGTACAGACCAAGCTTTAAAATATACTCCATACATTTTTAACAGGGTTGAGAAAAGGGCCACATGACAAGCTTGCATGCTTTA